AGGAGTACTGTATGGATATTTATTTATTTTTGTATTTTTGCAGTGCATAAGGGGAGTACAAGCAAGCCCTAGGTACCCCAAAGGCAATGCTCCTGCATGGCATTATGCTGTACAGTTGAGGTTATAGATAGAGCACGCACAATTTTATAATATGATGATAAACAACAAGCCTAACTAAGGGTCTAAACCTGAGATTGATAGGTTATGTTAGGTAAAGTGAAATAACAAGCTTAACTATGGTCTAGACCTGAGATTGACAAGTAATGGTAGGTATAGTAAGGCAAGGTTAGGCTCAGATAGTTTAACAATTCCAACAGGGCAATAAACTTAGTAGATTATTTGTGTAGCTCAGGAAGTAAGCTTAAAGGGTATTACAATTTGCCTAATGTACTGAACCTATTATTCAATGACAGAGTGAGGAGAGTCCCACAACGGTGAGCTGGCATCCACGTGAGGTAGTGTGACTCATGGTTCCCAGTGGGGAGCAGTATGGCGATGCTTGTCATTAGGGATCGATTAATTATCGGTCTGGCCGATATTATTGGCTGATATTCGGTATTTTCGGCAATATCGGTTTCGGCCTATAGAGATACCGATATTGCCGATAATACATACCAGGAACGCCGGGTCCATGACAAGCCTGGCGGTCCTGGAGGGCCCACAGCAAGCTCTTACTTACCTTTCCAGCAGCTCCCTTCACCTCCTCTGTCTAAATCTTGCGAGTCCCGCGGCCGTCAGAACGTTGCCACGGATTACCTTTAGACAGTGGAGCTGAAGGGAGCTGCTGTGAAGGTAAGTAAGAGCTTGCTGGGCCTCCACTGCACAGTCCATGCCGTCGGACCACCAGGGAATGCCATATCCCTCACCCTGGCCAAGTAAGAAGCAGGGAGGGGGACAAAAAAAATTTAATATTTAAAAAATAATTTAAAATAAAAAATGCCCCCCCACCCCTTCCCGCACACTACACACACACCGCATTCACTATACACACACACTGCATTCACTTTACACACCACACACTACATTCACTATACACACACAACACAAACACACACTCTGCATTCTCTATATATACACAACACAAACACTCAATGCATTCACTATACACACTACACAAACACACTCTGCATTCATTATATAACCACTACACAAAAACACACTGCATCCACTACACACACACAGCTCCCCTGTCTAAACACACTGCATCTACTACATGTGGCATGTATATTTTGTACATTTACCTTTAGAAATAGTTTTTTTTTTCAAAATGGTAAATGTACAGAATATCGGTAAGTTATTGGCTATCGACCGTTCAAAGATTATCAGTATCGGCTTCAAAAAATCAATATCGGTCGATCCCTACTTGTCATCGGTCATCCACTTCCTATGCGTAGGCTTTGTACAGTTCTTGCCAGGCATTCAATGGGGGAAGCAAAGTAGTGTGAGCAAGGGGATGCATCCCTCCAGCCCCAGGCCCTTGGTGAAGCCTGCATCATCGAGCCGAGATCACGGAGCTCCGATGGTCCCTGGCCTTCTCCCTTCTGAGGGGACAAGAGGCAGTGGTGGTTGTGCGCCACACGCTGCGGGGTGCTCTCTGTCCGTGCGGTCGATGCGTAGGGACTAGGCCCCTTGTGGCTTTTGGCCTAGGTGGGCTAACTTTGTTGATGGTGGGGGTAGTTTGAAAGGTTTTGCCCGAATGAGACTACCTCTCTCCCCGGTGCTTATCCCTCCGCACTCTCTGGAGGTTGTCTCGAGGCTTTCGCCATGCAGGTCTCAAGTTCTGCCCAGAACCTTGAGAAGGCTTCATCCAACCGCTGCATGAATCGGTTTACTAGGTTAAAGGAACATTATAGTCACCTAAATTACTTTAGCTAAATAAAGCAGTTTTAGTGTATAGATCATTCCCCTGCAATTTCACTGCTCAATTCACTGCCATTTAGGAGTTAAATCACTTTGTTTCTGTTTATGCAGCCCTAGCCACACCTCCCCTGGCTATGATTGACACAGCCAGCATGAAAAAAAAAACTGGTTTCACTTTCAAACTGATGTAATTTACTTTAAATAATTGTATCTCAATCTCTAAATTGAACTTTAATCACATACAGGAGGCTCTTGCAGGGTCTAACAAGCTATTAACATAGCAGGGGATAAGAAAATCTTAATTAAACAGAACTTGCAATAAAGAAAGCCTAAATAGGGCTCTCTTTACAGGAAGTGTTTATGGAAGGCTGTGCAAGTCACATGCAGGGAGGTGTGACTAGGATTCATAAACAAAGGGATTTAACTCCTAAATGGCAGAGGATTGAGCAGTGAGGCTGCAGGGGCATGATCTATACACCAAAACTGCTTCATTAAGCTAAAGGTGACTAGTGTCCCTTTAAGGAGATTCCATTGTAGCTGGGCTGTTGCACCTGCTTGCACACCCAATGCGTCCGCCATCTTATGAGTGCTCGTGCTGCAGCGATGAGCCGGAACCAGCTTAGGCAAGTGGCTCAGGACCATCTGCTTGTGTGGGCGCCGGGATAACCCTTACCAGCGGGGGCAGGGAGAACGGTGTGTCTAACCACCGGGGGCCCAGCTCCAGGTTGGTCAGTAACCGCGAGGTCGACCGCCCCTCAAGGACCCGACCACTAGGTAGGCCGCAGCCGTGTTGCCAGAGCTTTCACCACAGCAGAACCCATGCGTTAGTGGGTGATGGTACTATTGCACGTAGTAGGGTGTTTCAGGCTTGGAAATTGTGGAGTAGGAGTCCGTAAGGTTTGTTTAACCCCTTAAGGACACATGACGGAAATATTCCGTCATGATTCCCTTTTATTCCAGAAGTTGTGTCCTTAAGGGGTTAAAGCTCAATGCCGCCTGGAGCTCCAACTGTGTGCGAGCGCTCAGTTCGGCGGTCCGGGCCTGCCCTCCCTGTATTGATATTTTTGTGTACTGCAGAGTAATTCACTGCTCTCTATTGCAGTGCAAACTACTCCTTGTGCAATGTAGAGGATTTTATGGCGTCCCTCTGATGCAGTGCAGAACTACAGTATAATTCCAGGGGGATACTATCTGATGCAGTACTCCCAAGACCTCTTTCTGGTGCAGCTCAAAGTACTGCAGGCTCACTGTCTGCTGTGTGAAGCACTGCAATTCTGCTTTATTATGTGATAAATAGCATAAGTTAAAAAAAAAAATAGATATAAAGAATGTTGCAGGTTGTATACATTTTTTTTTATCAGATTGTGTAAATAGTTATACATTTTCATGTACTCTTCCAGAGCAGGTAGGGCACCTCTTTTTTCCCTTTGGCATTTGCTACTCTAACTCCATTGCTGGCTACACTGTATATGGACTCCAAATATGACAATTCATATCTTTATTTACCCCACTCAGGATGCCACACGTAGACCGTGTAATGCAATAAGCTAATAGATTACAGGGGGTCACCTTTTCCCCTTAACCATCACATTCATAAGCCCTTATGATCACAGTCTGTGCCTGAAAATCATGTGCTAATAAATAATGTCCTGCAAACTGTTTGAGTTTGCAGCTCTATAGAGCTTTGCTGATGTTAAATGAGTGGGGCATCGTAAGATTGTTGATGTAGGATTTTTTTAAAAGGCTGTTTTGTTATGATGGATTTATTCTTCATTAGTCATTGTTCCTTAAGAATTTAAACCCTGAATATGAACAAATTATAATTAGGTAATGATAAAGTTTATATCCAAACTTACATGGCTGAGCCTCTCAAATTGTGCAGGCAGCACATGAAGGGCCATTATTGAGTTGTCGCAGAGTAGAATGATTTAGTAATGGGAAGGTGATGAGCCCTCTAATGCACTGTACGTGCAGCTCACTTCCTAGATTGTCCTGTGTGGTTGTGTCTACTCTCGTTGTATCAAAATGCAGATAGGATGCTGACTGATAAAGATGATACTGAAATGAAGCTTTATCACTGCTACCAGCCCAGCTCCTCATTACCCAGATCACTGTTTCCTTAGGAGACAAAATCAAAATAGAGTTTTAAAAAACATATTCCTTGGGGAGGGAAATCTTATAAGATAGATGGGGTGGGGGGCCCAGGTGTCTAGGATTTAAAAGCGTGAGCGGCGGTGAGTGGGAGGAAGGATGCTGATGTGCCTGTCACACAGTGAGCGGATTATGGTGTCTGTGTGATTGGACTGTCTGTGCAAAGATAAGGTTTTATCACAATGGCATTTTTCTGATGTTTTCTTGTGGGATTCTGTTTTGTGATAATACATTTCATTCCCCCTCATTGCCAGGAAATAATGCAGAGACACCCTAAACCTCATCGTTCTGATGTTTTTAAACCTCTCTGTAAAAATGAGAGGAGAGTAGGGCAATGACCCACACCCCCAATATGGCAGTGAAGTGTTGCTTTTTCGCCTGTTATTTTGTTTTAGCTATATAAAGAAAAATCTGAACTTCAAGTTCTATTCTTAGCTACAGAAAAAATATTCTTTGTTGTTTTAAATTATATTAATTGCAGCTTCCTACCTTCTATCATCCTAATCAGAGCCCAGACTGCAAAGTGCTCCTGATTTTGTGATATTGAATAAGATTTCTTACTAAAAAACATAATTCATCAAAGGCCAACCTGAGACACAGTGTCAACAAATAATGCCATCATACATTTTGGACCAATTATTTTTCTTTTTTACTATAGTCAAATGTGCTTTGCTCTTCTTTTATTTTATACAGTTAATGATTTTTTTTTTTACCAGCCTCTTCTAAAAGATTAATATAAATAAAGACACAGGGTGTGCATAATTATTAACGCAGTATAATGGAAGGAAAACTGAAGAAGAAAAAAGACAGTTTGGCTAATGTATTTTTAGTAGATAGCAGACACTGCTGTTTACTTATCCTTATTGTGGTTATTGTAATGATATCATTTGTGTTCTGCCCTCACCTCACAGTTTGTCCCAGTGGAAGGTTTGGAAGGAGCTGCACTGAGATATGCACATGTAGTAACAATGCTACCTGTAACCCAATAGATGGGACATGCCAGTGCTACCCAGGCTGGATTGGCACAGATTGCTCTGACGGTAAGTTACAATTGTACATTTAATTATAGCAAGTTTATTTATTAAACACATACTGCTCTATTTACTAGAGGTCGTTTTTTTTTTAATTTTGCGCCAAAACAAAGTTGTGTGAAATTGCTATTTGCTGACTGATGTAACTTTGCTCTGACAATCCAGAGTATGAGCTCTTCGTGAGACACAATTGAAACCGTTATGCCATTTGATATTCATTAAATGCTGGGGGAGTTTTGTGCCCCAAAAAAGCTTGATTACTAGCATAAATGCTGTACTCTGTGAGACCAGGCATGAGGCCTCAGTAGGTGAGCATCAACAGTAAAATGTACACTTTCACTGGTGTCTCGTCTCTGATACTGGAAATTAAACTAAAATAAGTTCTACATGTTGAGCAGGTCATTGATCGAGACTCTCCATAATTCGATAAAATAAATGTTAAAAAATACATAGTCAAAGTAAGTGCGCTCTCCTCTTTGTTTATCTGTATATAAATCAGATAAACAACAGATGCAGGTGCCTTACACTCGTGTCTCCTCAGCATTTCTCACCCATGGGCAGTCTCTAGCCCGAGATACAATGTAGCAAAGTAGATTGCACAGTTACAAGTGTATTACTTAAACATCAAACGATATGTAAGTACACCTCATTGCCTTGACTTGTCTTGATAAAAGTCCTGGATAGTACTGAAATTTGGATGAGCTATACTTATATACCATTGCTGTTTAAATAATATACTAGCAATTGTTTTGAAAATCGCTACAAGTTAAGCGGGTGTTCTCTGCTTTGCGAGATTATATTTGTTTGTATAGATTTACATCAATATACAATACTATTCAAATTTCCCAAGAAGTAAGGCCTGCTTGTCAGAACATTGTAATTGGTTGCCAAGAAAACAAATCACAGTGCTCCCACTGAGAAAGCAAGTTATGAGAAGGCCTTTTATGAAAGCTTTTCCTGCCTTGAATGCTTAGTGCACACAGAACCTTTTATGAAATTGGGGCTCTTATTTTATGCATTTTTGTGCGATATGATGGCTTTTATTGGCCAGTTTTGGTTAAAGAAAGAAGATCTTCAATAAAGAATTGTAATGAGTGATAAAGTTTCAGTTGTCTTGGGAGTTGTCTCTTACCTCAAATTATCTTGGCCCACCAAGCAAGGCTTTCTGCATTTGCCTATTTGGCCTAAGGCTGGGGCTGCCTCTGTAATTGTGCTTCGATATGGCAGCTCTTTGATACCTGGCAGGGGTTCAGGACAGCTTGCCCAACAGACCGCCCCACAGGGACAACCGCCCCTGACCTCACTATGCTACTGGTTGTGGATTAATCTTTTTTTTTTTTTTAAGCCTGTGGTACCTACTGGATAGCATTACTGTAGCTAACAATATATTTATTTAGCCTGAGTTTGTAATAATCTACACTATTGCATTGTCAGCTGATCATTTGAAATCCCCATAAATATTTAAACATTGCATTACTTGTGTACAGATTTTCATTTTGCTTTATACTTACTCACTTTTCACAGCACCAAGAACCTTGATGTTTGTAATAACCCAGCAAAAAAAAATTATATTTTTATATTTGTATTATATGCAATGGATATGATGCTAGCCATATAGTCCCCTTTTCATTGTGGTTCATTGTATTTTGTAACTGGTAAGCACATTTGACATTTACCATCCTCAGGATCTACCTACTTACATTTCAGGCCTAATCTTTCAGTTTTTCAGAAGTGACATTCTGGAAGTGTCTGCAATGATTAATCAGAGTTAGTGTTATCTGGGCTCTAAGCATTGAAATAATACATCATAATCGTTTTCACTTATATTATTATTATTAACTTGCATCACACAATATTAAATTGTAAATTGCTTCAAGTGCTATAAATAATTATTAGAACTTTCACCAACTTAGCTCATCTTGGCTATTGCTGTATAACTGGTTAAAAAGTTACCTTTATAAAATTCCCATTACCTTTCTATAAACTGGACAAATAAATCTTGTTTGTGTATTTCTTTTAAATACTGCTATTATTATATTTTTGCAGAATGTCCTCCAGGCCTCTGGGGTCCGGACTGCATCCACACTTGTAACTGCCATAATGATGCAGAATGCAGCTCATATGACGGAGAGTGTAAATGCACAGCTGGCTGGACAGGGCTGTTTTGCACACAGAGTAAGAATGGTTTAACATCAGCAATGTGATACTATACAGTTTGTTAAAGCTATCCTTCCCAGTCTGCTCTGATCGTAATAAGGCACATTAGGGTGCAATTGAAACACAAAATGGTTATTGATTTTTAGGTGTTTATTTATTTATAACTTTAGTAGGGAGAGTTGGTTCAGGTAGACACTAGTGGTTAGACCACGGTGTCGAGGTAACTTTTAGGGTGAATTGAGAGATTTATTTAATTATTTATTTTTTGTGTGAGGCTTTTCATCTGCGTTTAGACCTGATTACCTGGTCCCTTGTTCTCTGGGGACCAGGTGCCTCTTCTCTCTCCCTAACCTCGTTTACACTACCTTCCTGTCAGTCAGACACTAGAGGAACTGGAACTTAGATGCTAGCTAGTACTCCAGACAATTGATCCCCGGGGCACTGTTTAGTAGATCTCCCCTTTTTCCCCCCAAGTTATACTTTTTGCTTGCATATCCCTTTTTATCCTTAGATTGATTAAAGGTGGGGCCTCCCTTCCTCATTTCTTATACAGTGGAGCTCTCCTGATGTTGGTTTTCCCTTGTGGGACTCTACACATCACCTACTTCTATTACCTCAGGGTGGAATTGCCCTTAAACTTCATGCATATGTATGTGTGTGCATGCCAAGTCATCCCAATTTATCTGAACAATGTTTATATCACATAAGGCGCCCCAGATCACCAACGGCAAGTTGTCAACCACTGGTGAAGACCTGCACCGTCCTGCTCTCCATGCATTCACGATTCATTGGAGAGATGACATTAAAGGCCAGTTAGACCTAGACTATGATATACTGGTGGTGACCAGGGTAGACAGATACGAGAGAATATACAGGATTAGAGGCCATAGCAGGTACAGATGGGATAGGTGCATGACCCTGAACAAATCAGTGTACCCATAAAGTTTTCAGTACATAGCAGCCCTAGATTCAGAGCTTCAGCCTCTAAAGCTCCCATGCAGTGCCTTTGAAGGTTAATGGATTTTTCTAGTCTTTACATTTTTTAAATGTTTAGTTTTTACAATTAATATATATGTATTTATAAAATATGTTACCAGAAAAAATATTTCTAGGTTTCACTAGTTTTCAGAAATGTCTTGGAGAAATATGACTAGAAATTGCTGTTTAAAAAAACACTCAATGTTCAGTGCAAGCTGACTTCACAACTTCCATTTTCCATGTTAATGTGAATTGAGCGTAAACTGTGTATGCCAGGAGCTTATCCCTTTGTCCTAAAACTGAAGAGTTTGATTTGTGAATTAGCGAGTAGCCCAGTAGTGAATTGGCTCATTTTTGACTCTGTAGATGCTACTAGGAAATCCTCTCGATAAACAGAAAACATTATATAATGCACAGGATTGGGTATACACAGTTTGAAAGGGTTGCTGCACAGAATGTATAATCCTATAATTTGTGACCAATGACATTGGAAGCATTATTACGTAAATATGAAAACTGCTAGTAAGTAGGAGATATGGGGATGCATTTACAATGTGGCTGCAGTTAATCTTGTAGTCCACGACATCAAAACACCTTTCTTTACCTCATGCATGATCTATTGTTTCCCCCGCTGATATTGACTGGGAAATAGACAGTACACAGTTCATTAAATAATTATATTGGTATCCTGTATTCTACGCAGAATACAGAGCAATGCCATACAGATGCAAAGTGTACTTTACAACAGTTGCATAGTCCTGAGTAATCAATATATCACACATATATCACACATAATTGCAGATTTGTAATTATCAATATAAAAATGCTCTTAGAGAGCAATGGAGCCTAGTACTTGCAGTTCTCACAGTTATCCCACTACACTACCACATCCTCCATCAATATGGTTAAATATAATAACCAACAGATGTGACTCACAAGCCAATTAAGAATGATCCCTGGCTAAAGAACGCCATAGGAACACAGAAAGAGTTCTCTGTGTATTGTGATTGCATAGGAAATAAAAATAAAAAATCTCTTTATTATAGGGTATAAATTCCCCAAAAAGGTAAATAAAACTTAATAAAAACTAACACACACTAGAGAGAACTGAGATAATAAGGTAAAGGAGGAGAGATAAAGATAAAGTGATACTAAGAAGTGTCACAGCAAGAAAAAATCTTGGTATACAATCTCTCCCCTAAAGATATGTAGCGATCTGGGTAGAAACTATCCTGTATAACAGAGTATAACAGTTGCCAAATATCCACCTAGAATGCTAAGTATGGATACATAGTATCCCCTAAATTAGCAGTAGCTGGTGAGCATAAAGGATCAAAGAAATAAACTGAACTGTCTATAGGCTATATTAGTGTCCTCAATCAGAAATCCTGGTTAGCAGACAGTTCAGTTTATTTCTTTGATCCTTTATGCTCACCAGCTACTGCTAATTTAGGGGATACTATGTATCCATACTTAGCATTCTAGGTGGATATTTGGCAACTGTTATACTCTGTTATACAGGATAGTTTCTACCCAGATCGCTACATATCTTTAGGGGAGAGATTGTATACCAAGATTTTTTCTTGCTGTGACACTTCTTAGTATCACTTTATCTTTATCTCTCCTCCTTTACCTTATTATCTCAGTTCTCTCTAGTGTGTGTTAGTTTTTATTAAGTTTTATTTACCTTTTTGGGGAATTTATACCCTATAATAAAGAGATTTTTTATTTTTATTTCCTATGCAATCACAATACCCAGAGAACTCTTTCTGTGTTCCTATGGCGTTCTTTAGCCAGGGATCATTCTTAGTATTTTATACTTATCTCTAAGGGTTACCCCCTAAAGGGTTCTCTTGACGTACCGTGGACTCCATTCTTTTGGATTATCCACGTTCTTTGTTCTGTTTAGTCACAAGCCAATTAACCTACATTTTAAGGTGCCTACTCTGCATTGTCACTGCCAGTGTAAGGTAACCTGAAGACAATCAATCAGACAGCATTGATGTAATTTGCCTCCAATGTCTGTCTTCCACTGAGATTCTTCTAACAAGTAACTCACTTCTCAAAAGACTCCACATTATTATAAAGAACTGAGCAACAGTTTCTTCACTACACATGCAGTGCCAGAATGTCTCATTATTATGTCTTTCCTCACAATTGCTCAGGACACTGGGCCATCTTCCTTTTGTCCCCTCTCATTAATCTGCCCTTTGTGGACCATATATGTTTTGCAGTGATTTATTAAGTACTGTAGTAGATAAGTGTCAATGGAATGTTAGATCAAAATTGAGGTAAAGTGGACCTATACATTTGCTTGTCTCATGCAGTATCCTGTGACATCACAACTGTGTGCTCAGCTCCAAATCCTATTCATACTAATTCCTATTAATGCAAATTTTTCATCTCCTCCATCATTATCATATGCAAAGATTTTAAGACATACACTATATATATTTTTTTAATTGATGTGTCTTTTTTTTTGTTCAATAAAATGTTAATAGAGGTAGAAAGCACAAGTCAGCATAATTAAATAAGTATATACCAAAAGCCAAACTTTTAAAGGGAAACAACTGACTGTGCATGCTGAGAGCCAAGCCCAGATTTAGCTGAAGATCCGGGAGTTTCCCAAAAATGCTGTCCAGAGTACCAAGCTACACGCATGCATTGTGTGTCTGTTAGACATGAAACTTTGGATATGATTTACCGCCCTCTGGTGGTCTACAGAGCAATTTGTCACAGTGAATGAAAAGCACGCTGGTAGGAAGTCAGAGATAATGTTTGATATAACTTCTAGTGCACATACATCATTGCGGAATACTCCTCTCCTCATAGCTCACTAGAATCAGAACGAAAAAAAACTTAAATATATAAGAGGTATAAGCAGGATTGGTTTCTACAAACAATCCCGTTAATTGTTTTATAGTTAAAAGAAAAAAATGTGTTCGAAAAACCCTGGGCTGTGATGCAATTGATTGTTTCATTCACTGACCCTGAGCTAGAAAAATATCCTGTCACTTTAAACTACTATGCTTATCAAAAATAGAGGAGATCTGAAAGGTTTATGACATTGTACTTTATTCCTACTCAGCCAACAAATACACATTGACTTCCTCTTACATAACTTATACATGAGCTCATACCATAATTTTGCACATTGAAATACATAATCACGCAAGCAGTTATGACTGGGATCAGATACATTTAGCAATGTTTGGTTTGTAAAACAAGCAAGTCATACCACTGCAATTATTTGATTCATTAATTTGAGCAAAGGAATACACTCCAATAAACCCAGTCTTTTCTTATGAGCATTACTGATATTCCCATGTACTGTCATATTGTGCACGTTGTGCACTGTAAAAGGTTTAAAATAAAGAAGCTAACAGTTATGTCTAAGATTAGATAGATAATTTTACAAATGTTTGCTTTGCAAAACAAGTCAAGCCATTTGGTATAGATTGATCTTGTAGTCTCTTTCTCTGACTCCCTGATATAGTTGGATTGATGTTTGATACAAGACAGGTTGTAGGGACACACTTTCTTATGAACTGGAAATTCGAAAACTATACACTGTCTCTAGAAAGATTACACAATTTAAATAATATAGATAGCCATGTGCATTATAGGTCATGGTGTTAGGAAAGTAGAGCAGGTAGGCAACCTTTTAGCAGCACTGTGCCGAAATAGGATTGTGACGTCCCGTAGCGTGTCGGTCCTATTTTTTTTTTAAATTGAGGTGTATATGTTGCCGTATTCTGCTTGTGTTATTTATACTGCAGTTGCTTTGTATCGTTGTATTTGTGCGTATATGAGCTATTATATTGTATATGTTCAGGAGTAGTTTGTGGTATTGTGTATGATACCTATGAATGTGGGCTGTGTATGGGGGCTGCTTGTGGAATTGTGTGTGTGGATGGATATGTCACATTGTGTGTTTGGTAGTGTGTGTATGTGTGGGGCTGTTTGGGGTATTGCATGTGAGACACTGCATGTGGGGTTGTGTGCATGTATGTGTTAGTGGTGTTACGTTTTTGCGGATTGTGTGAATGTTTGTTTGTGGGCTGTTCTTATTATTTGTATGAGGGGAGGGTTATTCTTCAGCTCTGTGTATATCTAGCAGTGTTGGTGGCTTCCCTGGGTTCCAGTGGGTACCAGGCTGACCAGGTACAGGTCAAGAACAGGAGCTGCAACAGCAGCTGCAGGCTGCTCTACTACAGTGTGGATTCCCATTCACAAGTGCTGGGAGGAAGTGATCTGTGATCACTTCCTTAACGTGCTGCAATGTGTAAATTGAGGATTGTCCTTCACCACCTTTTCGTATTAGCAGCTATCTGAAGTTTTACTGGTACTGCTGATAGGCCAGACCCTGTTTGGCTCTAGCACCCTTAAGTGCCATGCAAAGACACCTTGAGTGCCGTGCATGGCACATGTGCCATGGGTTGTCTAGACCTGGAGTAGAGCATCAAGAGCCTGCTGAGAAATGCTTCCAGTAACTCATGGGAAAGGGAGTTAATATGGATGTCAGAGATGGCTTCCCCCTTACCTCAGATTAAGATGGCATGGTAGAGTTAAAACTCCAAACAGCAGGCAAGCACTTGTAATAAGCTCAAACACGATTAGAACTAAATAAAAATTTAAAAAATCACTGACGTTTTATGAAAGTCTGAAGGATAATACAATAGACAGAGCATTCCTTAAGATGGGAGCAGCCATACAAGTGGTCCTGTCAGTGTGAAAAGTGCCGATCCACTTTAAAAATGTTGACAATTCAAAAAAATGTTGGCACATTATTAGAACTTTGCATAGCTCGTCAGTGGAAGGCAGTGGTTGTGATGTGGTTCTATTTCTCAGGATGTCCATCTGCCTTTTATGGAAAGGATTGTGCCAATGTCTGCCTCTGCCACAATGGAGCGGACTGTGACCATATCACTGGGCAGTGTACATGTAGAACTGGATTCACAGGAAAGCACTGCGAGCAAAGTAAGTAAGCTGTCATCCAGTTAAATGTATAGCATCAGATCAACTACACAATCTGGTTCTGTGTATCTCATGCCTTCCCCATTCTATATCCCTTGACAGTTACTTAGTATCTCCAGGGAGCAATCGACCATCCCACTCATAGGTGTGGGTGTACATGAGAAAAGATTGACACATATATTCTCATGTAACAGCTTAAAGATCTAAGAACACCTTACACACATTGATCAGGTTTCAGCTGTCAAGGGTTAAATGCTTGTCGTGTGCAAATTACACCTCATTCCTTCCATCTCTTCTTTTTTTTTCTTTCTTGGCAGCATGCTTAGAAATGTATAAATCCATGAAGCATTAGAGAAAAACAAGTATTGTTAACACAGAAAAGTTCATGAATTCTTGTTATGTCTCAGTCATTGCTTACAAGAAACCACTGGAAAAAAACAGGTCTGATGAAATGCGAAGGTTGTTCTATTAAATACCGTTTTCAAATTAAGTGCAATGTTTGGAGACAGGAGAGATTATTGATAGAGTCTGTGCTGTTTTAAAGTCATTTTTTTTTTAGGATCGAGTTTATACTGAATTAATAAGCATAGATACATCAATTTCGGCATGGGCCGCCATTCTTAACAGCTCAATATCCCGTGCATTCTGCGTGTGTTAAAGCCTTATATTTATTTGATGCCTTAAGTAGAGAAAGCATAGTCATGTCATTGTAGACCATAAATGCAACAACTTTTGCCTGGGCAATGGCATGCTATGCTCAACTTCTGGGCATCCATTCTGTGTGTGCTGGCTGCAAAAGTTAGGGCCATATAATTGCATGTTGCGTTGGTTAATGAAAGCTTAAACATGACACATTTATGTTACGTATAAATGACAAAGGTAACAGAGCAACCAGACATTCAAGAAATTAGAAGTGAGAGCCATGTAACAGCGCCATGTTTAGCCTTAGCAAGTAAAATAAATGTGCATAAACATTGCTGGATTGGTCATATCATGGGTGTTTTTAACGGGTATAATTTCGCTAGGGTCAACTAGGGGCTCCATCGTTTACTACTCGGTTAGAGTTCGCCCAACTAATCATGCCAGAGACACACAAACGAACAGTATTGCAGTACATGTGAAAAAAATTTTTAAAAAAAATTATATGAAAACAAGCCCAAAAGGGGGCAAGTAAAGTTAATTGAGGACTCTAATGCCCTTAACGGTTACGGGGCTGGTCTGTCCTTAAGATCAGTTCACTGAGGGCCGTACATTGCACAGCTGTCTTGCCGTTCCTGGGCCGCCGAGTCCCTGTCTGTCCTCCCCGCAACAACCCAGTCCGTCTCCAGGGTCCTCCGTAGCTCTGTGGGCACTCGGGAGTAGGGGCTGTCAATCCGACTCCCACACCTAGAGTCCATGGGCCCCGTCTCCCTGCACCTCCCCATTACCACCCAAGATCCAGTACTCAGAGGAGCGTGTTACCCACTGTCTCACCCGGTGCCGGCCACTTGTTTGGAGCCGGCGCGCACCCCCCCGGCCACCCGGTCCCCACCGGGCTCACGGCTTCAGGGACATGGCCCTCTGGGGACCCCACATACCCAGGGGCTAGGGCACCCACTCCTCCAGCGGGCGGGTAGTCATCACAGGGGATCTTATCCAGCGCTCAGCTGTGCCCAAGTCCGCACGGGCCATCCAGTACGGGCCTCCATAGCTAGCACTCTCCACATTTACCCCTCTGATGTTGCGGTAGCGCCTTTAATGAGTGCTCTTGTCGGTAGTGGGGCTATCTCTTAGCGGGTCCAAGCCTTCTTGCTACCGATCTGGGTGCCTCCTTGGGTGAGTGTTTCAACCTCTCCGCAGGTACCTCCGGTGTTGCTGGCTGGTTGAGTTTCGTGCAACTGGTGCCAGTGCAGGCAGTCGGCATCCGAACCGCGCGGATATCCCCCGCCAGCCCCCCAAAAAAGGGGGGGGCAGGGCCGTGCCCCGGGCCGAGTATCACCCCCTGTCGAGGTGTCTATAGCGGGATACGTTGGTTTTCTGCTCTGCGGCGCCACGTTGCCTGTAATGGCCGCTGGTTTTCTGGCGCTCCGCCTTGTGCAGGCCGTGTCCGGCCCTCTCTACTTGCCTGGCTTGCCGTGGGCATTGTGCAGGTATCGGGGGTAAGCTGGTGCCGGTCTCTGTTCGGATCTGGCTGAGTATTGTATATTTAGGCGGTCTGGGGCGATTGTTTTAGTGCCTTTTTTATCCGCTTAGTGCAGGAGCTCATGTTAATGGCGTCCAGTCGGCCCGGCCCCGCCCCGCCCCCCGAGTATTTTTTGTATGTATACTGTTTCCATAAAGCAACCCTGTCATGATTTGTTTATTTATCTGGTTTTCCTTTCTTTATGCCCTCTGTATCTTAATGATTATGCCTTCTCCCCATTTATATTTATATTTATCTTTTCTTTCTTGTGCCAGATCACAATATTTAAAAATAAAATATATAACAAAGTGACACCCCAACAAGTAGAAAAATATAAATGGTAATATTACCCTTTTAGTAAAAGATTATTAAGATTGTGGGAAGATTCCTCTTACCTTCTTCATAAATACATAAAATATACAATCTAAAAGAAGAAAAAAACTAAAATAGTGTGCTAATGTAAAATTTTATAGAAAGCTGGTGACGTTATATTGCACTCACAAAAGTAAATTGTATGCAGGCATGTAAAGGTATCTTTGTAGGACTTAGCCCTTTGTCCTTTTCTTTTATCCCATTGAATACATAGAAGAGAGAGGGAGAAACACAAACATAGTGTGCCACTTTAAAAAGTTAAACACCTTTTATTTCAAATACACTCACAAGATGGATCTCTTAGTCTTGCATATCGTAATGTAACTTTCCAGACTTAGGATGTTATGTTGAAAAGTCCTCTGTAGTCAGAATAGAATAGCAGCTTGAAATCCAAAATGTTAAAATCAAGAAAACACTTGTAATAAAGTAACATAAATATGAAAATAAAAGTCACTATGGTGTCCTCCCAGCCCTACGCATTTCGTCCTATAATAGGACTTCCTCAGGGGAATCCAATAGTAGTGTTGCCATTCTCCATCAAGCACCTGTTTTAAATATCGTTTTCGCACCGTCCCGATCCGCAGTCAGTGGCTTGATAGAAATCCCCTGCATTTGCTTAATCGCGGCTTTGCGTCCCAAGCCTCGATCTCATATTGAGTGTTGATGACGTCTTCCGGTTGCACCATGGTTGCATTTGCATTCCAAAGTGCGTTACGTTTTTGCATGTTTTGATAATTCTAGACCAATGGCAGGTAGTTTTTTCAAACGTAGGCCCCTTGGGATTAAATTTTCTTTAATATACGTTTTTAAAAATGGAATTTCCCACCATTTTTTAGTTTCTTTTATGACCAATTTTTCTAATTTATAAAAATAACCATCCATGTCTTTAATTTGAGTTTCATTGTCTCCATGGTTGGTAAAGAGGGAATTGAATCTTGCCTCTCTTGTTTGTTTCAGATTGGAAAAAATGCATCCTTTTTGTGTCATCTCTAAATACTGGGGCAGATGCTAAAGTAGGGAAGGGTGTGGGAGAAGCTATAGAGATGCTAGCTACTATACTGTATCTGGAAAATTCAGAAATTTTAATATCTGTTTTCAATCCACTTTTTAGAAGGAAGGAAGGAAGGAAGCAGTGTTATGTACAAGAGCAGTTAACTTATCCATGTGCATAGTATCATTCATTTTAAGGACCACATTATCAAGAGGTGATAGAGATACATTTAAATAGCATTCTGCTAATGTCTTTTGTCAATCAAGGCAGCTTTAAAGGACCACTATAGTGCCAGGAAAACATACTCGTTTTCCTGGCACTATAGTGCCCTGAGGGTGCCACCACCCTCAGGGTCCCCCTCCCGCCGGGCTGGATGGAGAGGAAGGGGCGGGGAGCTCTCCTCTCCGCCTCCTCTCCTCCTCTTCGGCTGAATGCGCATGCGCGGCAAGAGCCACACGCACATTCAGCCAGTCTCATAGGTAAGCATTCACAATGCTTTCCTATGGACGCTGGCGTCTTCTCACTGTGAAAATCACAGTGAGAAGCACGCAAGCGCCTCTAGCGGCTGTCAAGAGGTATTAATTTATTCAGCACTCTTTTTAAGTAAACATTGTTCCAAGAAGGACAAGTACATCACATGTGAACAGATTTTACCTATGTTCCTGCACATTGTCCAGTACAGGTCTATAGAAGCTTTAAGGCCCATATTCTCATTTACTGAGAGTCACATACCACCTAATTTAGGTTTTGATTCCTTTTTACATGATATAGAAGACTTGGCAATATTTCCTGTAGGTCAAAAAAAATACCAGAGTCAAGAGCCCATCTCAGCTCTGCTTTCAACATAGAAACATCGGGTAACTCTTTCTAGTCTAATATTGAGATAAACATGTTGTTGGACAGAAATCGTTCCTTAAAACTGTACTGTCATGCCGAACTTACCTTTCCCCAATCGCTTCCTCTTCTCTCCGTCTCTCAGGATTTGTACTTTATTTCTTCCTAACTGATCTAGTTTTCATTAAAACCTAAAACCTCCTGTGGGTCAAAGAAATTTTCCCACAATACTCACCCTTTCCTTCGTGATCTTGCGAAGCCTCCTTTCACTATTCCTGAACGTCCTGTCATTTAGAATGAGAACAATTTGTCCGTTCGTGTTAGGACGACCTTCAGTACTTTCTGTTAGGATTGGAATTTCATTAGAATGAATGAAACTCCGATCCTATTCGTGCCGCGTCTGCATCTTGCAGCCACTTAGTAAATAGCTCCCTAATTTCCACGGTATTAGAGAGCTATCTCCCAAAAGGCTGTAAGACCTAAATTGGTTTTTAAGCCAAATTTACTAATACTAAGTAAAGATTATTCAGTATTAGTGGTTAGTTGCTGCTCGCTGGGTGAAGATGGATTATCTTTTTTTTTAGCAAATTTGCTAATTATGGATTTTTATTTGGCATTTTTGTCCTTTTTTTTGGCCTTTTTGGGGGCTGAAAAAAGAATATTTTAGAAAAAAGAAGACAACTAACGGTAAGTATGAATTTTTTAATTTTTAGGTATCTAGTTTTTTTGTCCCCCCCCTCACTACTTTTAGGGTGAGGGGAATAGGTAGGGCTTATGTTATTGGGGGGGTTGAGCTGGAGACCCCTAGTCACCTGTGGGGGGGGGGCAGGTATTTTTTACATTTAGCCCCCACCCGTCACCAATAGGTAGGGGCCGGGGGGGAGACAAAAGTTAGGAAGTGGCAGGGAGCCAGTTGGAAATGGATTTGTTGCATAGAGCGTCCCTTAAATGGAGTTTCATGCATTTTGCAGTGCCCTGGGCTGTTGTATTATTTACTAATGGTAATGTGGGCAGCCAGCTTGCAATATTTAAACCAAAACTCAAGTTGGAAAAAAAACAAGATTCCAACTTCCTCTCATTTCTGCAATTTTAGTCTAAATTATGTAGATTTGTTGACTCCATTTATTCATGACCTTACCCCTTAATAGACGTAGAGACTGTTGGAAATCATTTTGTTTCTTGCAGTTCTATGCTAACAATACATTTATGTTCATATTTAGATTTCTTCTTTCATAAATAGCAAAAAAATAACTTTCTTGAATAATTTAGGCAAATAGCCTCACCCCCACCCCAAAAAATAAGAAACGCTGATCTTTATCATATTACTTGGGGTAAATCTACAGCACAGTCAACGCAGTTGTTTGAAATGGCTTAAAATTGTTCCTTATGTTTAATGTTCTTCAAATTTACATCTATAAGCATTCTAAATTTGAAGTTGCTATGGTAATAGCTAATGCATTAGCAGGTTTGACTGGATAGTCTATTTTGTTCATGCAAAGTGCCTTTTTACACTAAACCCCTTCACTCAGTTCCACTTCCCCAGCACAAAGCCCATCCCTTTTCACCGGCAAAATTATCTCATCGAATGAGATATTCACATTTTACATTAAGAATAAAAATGTTGCGGGGCGGGACTTCCGGTCGGACGGAGCGGTCGCATGTAACCGCAGCTCCGTGATCGGCACGGCCTAAAAGCGGCAGAAAAGCGGCGAAAGAGCCCGGAACGACCCTACCAGGGTGCCCAACAACAGGGGAACCACCTACCTCAAGGATGGCACCCCCGAAGTCCCAAAGGGCATCGGATTTCTTCCGGCAGGGTAAGGGAGGGAAGCAGCGCATGGAGCAAGATGGCGGCGGCTCCCGCTCACCCACTTACACCTCAGATGCAGGATCAGACTCAGATATGAGGCAAGCAACCGCTGAAGATCTGTCTGTGTCGGAAAAGCGCCTGGCGGCAATGCTGCAGGACCTGCGCACTTCTATGAAGACTGACTTCCAAGCTGCGGTCTCTGAAATGCGCAAAGACATCCATGAAGTGGGGACACGCGTTAATGCACTAGAAGAAAAGACTGACGAGCTCTGCCACATGAATGACACCATGGTGGAGAAAATACAAAGAATGGACGCTGATAACAAACGCCTTATGGAAAAACTGGCAGATCTGGAGGATCGCTCCCGCCGCAACAATATCCGCGTGCGCGGGGTACCAGAAACAGTGACACAAGAAGAGCTGCCGGCCTACCTACTGCGACTCTTCCAAGCGATCCAACCAAACCTAGAACTGGCGGACCTCCGCCTGGACCGGGCGCACCGAGTGCCAAAACCTCAAAACCTTGCACAAGAAGTGCCAAGAGACATCGTGACCAGACTGCACTACTACTCTGCGAAAGAAGCCATACTCACGGCGCAAAGGAAGGCCTCAGCGATGCCGCCAACCTATGAAAATATCTCCCTATTCGCCGACCTCTCACCGACAACAATGGCCAGAAGAAGGGAATTCATTAACATTACGAAATGCCTCAGAAACAACAAAATACCGTACAGGTGGGGATTTCCTACAAAACTCCTCCTCTGGCGGAACGGCTCCCTAATAAAGATCGAAGATCCGGCGCTGGGGATGGACAAGCTCAAGACCTGGGGCTTGTTCCCAGACGGCAAAGCACCACACACCCAAACCTCCCTAAAGAAGATGACCGCGGACTGGTCCAAAGCCTAAAGAACACTACCGCCACCCAGAAGGGGGTGCCGGCTACAACACGACTCGGTTAGAGACCCGTGTGACCCCCCCCCATGGTGACCACCCCACTCATCTGGGAATGGCATAGCTTGAAGGACATTCAGCACCCACGTGAGTACTCTTGATCGCCCTCACCCCTAACCCAACACAAGAGAAAAAGTGACTGCCACACCACAGCGTAATTTGGCCCACCCGTCACTGCGAGACTTACCCCTAAGCAGTCAGACTCACTGCTCAGACCCTTGCAGAGACTGCCCACTAAAATCTGAACCCAGCATGGCCGGACAAAGGCCGAAAAACTGAAAGGCGCAGAGACTGTGCTCACCTCTCACCCCCCCCCACTCACGGATCTATACAGGACAGCCAACGGCTCAGCCAAGCCCCTATACCTCCCCCCCCCACCGCCTACTTTTTCGAGAGAGCCGGGCTCTGAAAGAGGTACAGGCCTCACCAAATATTAGACGCCCCCCCGATACACCTGTGGGACACCGCCTGCCGTTGCGACCCCCTCTCAGTGCAGTAGAGGGTGCGAGCTCGGCAGCAGGGTCCCTCACATAATGCTTAATAGCTGTTTGAAATGTATATACTTTATTTCTGTTTTATGGTTTTGTCTCTTAGGTTATGTTCCAGGTTGTTCCCCCTGCCCTAACCCCCTTCCCGAGATGCTCCCCCTTCACTACTGGGTACGACGAGGGGAAAAAATAGCCTCACCCAACCACCTCTGTCACGCAGTGGTAAGGGAAAACACTACACCCAAACTACCGGGCCCTAGGGCCACCCCAACTAGTTAAAATGACCTCCGCCAATAAATTCCGCCTGGTGTCTCTAAATGCCCATGGGCTGAACACACCACAAAAACGCAGGCTGGCGTTCTCCCAATTACGCACTCTACACGCCTCTGTGGCATGCATACAAGAAACTCACTTCTCAATTAAAAACCCACCAAAATTCTCGTCCACATCTTATCCACAAGCTTACCATGCCACGGCACCGAATAAGACACGAGGTGTTAGCATTCTCTTCCACTCTGATTGGCAATTTAAATGTGAAGTAGAATACAAAAGCCCCGATGGCCGGCTTCTAATACTAGTAGGACTCTTAAATGACGTCCAGGTGACGGTAGTCAACCTCTACGCCCCCAACACTAACCAGTATGACTTCCTTAGGAAAGCTTTACAACAAGTAGACAAGAAGAAGAAAGGGCAGACGCTTATATGTGGAGACTTTAACTGCGTACTGGACCCAGCTCTAGATAGGACCGGCAAACCCTGTTCCCACTTGCGATCAACACAGCTAGGGTTGAAAGTGACAGCACTCCTCAACTCACACGGCCTACACGATACATGGCGTTCGCTATACCCAGCGTCTAAAGACTACACGTTCTACTCCAAGGTACATGATAGATACTCCCGAATAGACATGTGTTTAGTGGATGTGAAAACGCTAGATACCCTGGAGGAGGTATCGATTGCCCCCTTGACTTGGTCAGACCATGCCCCCCTTACTTCAGTCTTTACCACGCTCCACCCGGTCCGGGGTCGGGGACAGTGGAGACTAAACGAATCACTGATAGACAATGTGAACAGGGCGGCCGAGATAAGGAGTGCCTTGGCGCACTACTTTGTAGATAACCACTACACCGACACGAATGTCGCAATGACATGGCTTGCCCATAAGGCAGTAATGCGCGGTCTGCTAATACGACAAGGGGCAAAACTGAAGCGCCAACTGACAGAAAAAAGTAAGACCCTACTGGCCGACTTAAAACAAGCAGAAACACGACACAAGACCTCCCCCACACACTCCAACAGGCAGGAGGTACAGAAGTTAAGGGCCACTATAGAAGCACTACAGATGCAGCAAGTGGAACGGGCAATTCGTAAAATGAAAACCAACTACTACAGACAGGGTAACAGAGCGGGCAAAATATTAGCCTCCCAACTCAGGGAACGCACCTCGCAGGTAAAGATCCCATATATTAAGGACGACACGGGCACCAAGATTAGAAACCCCAAAGCGATAGTAGACAAGTTTGCCCAATTTTACGCAAGGCTATATAACCTGTCTGAGGACACCAACCAACACCAACCCAGTCCCCAAAATATTAATTCCTTCCTAGACGGAGTGACTCTCCCTCGACTATCCGACGAACAGGCGGCTGCACTGACCAACCCAATTGAAGCATCTGAAGTATCAAAGGCTCTACACGATACGCCCAGACACAAAGCCCCAGGCCCAGACGGCTTCTCAACCCACTACTACAGGGTTTTTGAGGACCAGCTACTCCCCCATCTCACGGCCCTATTCAACCACATTTTAGAGTCGGGGGAGATACCCCCGGAAATGTTGGAAGCCACCATTATTACGCTCCCTAAACCAGGCAAAACTACTGATACATGCGCACACTACCGCCCAATCTAACTCCTCAACGCTGACACAAAATTGTTCGCCAAGACCCTTGCAAACAGAATACGCCCTACACTAGCTCAATTAGTATCCCCAGAACAATCAGGGTTTGTCCCGGGGCGACAAGTAGAAGATAACACCAGACGAGCCCTTGACGTAATGGAACTCATGATTAGAGATCGATCACAGGGCTTAATAATGGCCTTAGACGCAGAAAAGGCCTTCGACAGACTCCACTGGGGTTACATGACAGAGGTCCTGCGTAGATTCAACTTCCCGACAAAATTCCTAGCTGGGCTCTTATCCCTCTGCTTATCCCCCCAAGCCACAGTCATGAACTCTGGTTTCATTTCCAGCAGATTCGCCCTATCGAACGGCACAAGACAGGGATGCCCCCTATCGCCCCTCATTTTTATCCTGGCACTGGAGCCCCTGCTCCATAAAATCAGGACTAACCCCTGCATCCTAGGCGCCCCCTCCCCGACAGGCCCGCAAAAAATGGCAGTGTTCGCGGACGACATCCTTCTCTTCCTAACAAACCCGCCGGACTCCCTACCCGCCCTCCTGGACCTACTACGGGACTACGGCCAGGTCTCATACTACAAAAATAATGTAGCGAAAACACAGGTACTCCCGATGAATATGCCCAGTTCACAACTCACGGCCCTACGAACGTTATACCCCTTTGAATGGAGGAAGGATACCATTTCCTATCTAGGCACACAACTAGCACCCTCCAAACAGCTCCTCATAAAACATAACCACGGGCGACTCATAGCAAAAATAGAGCAGGTGCTGGAGGGCTGGGGAAGCAAAAACGGACACACATCCTGGTTGGGGCGCATAAACGCCGTGAAAATGATGATACTACCGCAAGTATTATTTCTATTCAGGGCCCTACCCATCAGTCTACCAAACTACACCCTCCGAGCATTTCAGCGACTCATCAACGCACACATATGGAGGAAAAAACCACCCAGAGTCTCACTAGCAAATATTAGCACAGCCATGGGGGGAGGCGGGGTGGGTGTGCCACACATAACCAAATACTACCTAGCAACAAACATATCTCAGACGGCGCGCCTCCTCCCCACCTCGAATTGCCCACTGTGGCACCAACTGGAAAGTGCTGTCTGTGCACCTCACTCCCTTAGGGACCTGGTCTGGATCCCAGCCAAGGCCCAACCTCGACTCACTAACCCTCTCGCAACAACCAAGCTGTCCCTGCAGCTATGGCTGAGATGGGCCCCAAAAATGCTTAGTGTAAAGATAGAGACCCTTGCCCCACTGACAAGTCTCCAGCACCACACACATGACCTGGATCTGGGCGAGTGGGTAAATAGGGGGCTGACGCAGATAACTCACCTCTATGAAGCAAATGGGCTCCTAGCGTTCCCGGACCTCCAAAGCCAATACCACCTACCAAACAGCGAAATATTCACATATTTACGCATAAAACATATCTTAGGGGCCACCGGCAAGGAAAGGACACCAACACAACCCCAAAACCACTTTGACTTGCTATGCCAAGGTCAAAAAACCCCCAAAAAACCACTCTCCCTGTGTTACCATAGGTTGCTAGACATAGATAGACCGGCCAAACAATCATACATGCTCAAATGGGAAAGAGAATTGAACTGCGAACTCGAGCATGGGAAGTGGATAGGGGCCATGACACTGGTTAAACGGGCGACAAAGTGCTTGGACCATGTAGAAGCAGCCTACAAGATGTGGATGCAGTGGTACTACACGCCACACAGATTGGCCCAAATATACCCAGGGGTGCAGAATAGATGCTGGCGCTGCAGCCAACAAGGGGGAAACACGAGCCACATATTCTGGTATTGCCCGGCACTCAGCCAATACTGGCAACACATCCAAGACATAATTACATCCAAACTAGGAAAACAATTACCACTCAAACCCGAACACTATCTGCTCCACATGCTACCCCGAGACTTTACAGCCCATGAAGCAGTGCTGACTACCCACATCACCTTAGCAGCTAAAACGTGCATAGCCGCCTTGTGGAAAACAACGACAGTACCTGACATAAAAACAGTACTCGCCAAAATAAGCCTCACCCGACAGTACGAGCAGATGGCACATACAATAGGTGGCACATTAGAACACTACAACAGGACATGGTCCAAGTGGTGATGCCTGGGTGAAGGACGAATTACGCCCCATCTAGCTGACAAACTATGCCCCACCTAGCCTCCAAGCACGAGAGCATCTCTCCCCCCCCCCGTACTACACCCTTATCCCAGTTCACCCCCCCCCATACACAAAATAAGGGCTTACGTTGCCCTATCGAGCCTTAAAATATGAGATGATGAGCAGGTGAATTAGTTCCCAGTCTACAAGACACGACACTACACAAATAAACAAGCAACACGCAAAGGTGATACGAACCCGGTTGCTAACCATCGGGCCCACCCCAAAGAAGAGTGGAGGATACAGGTGGGAGGCTGACCACCGGAGGCCAGGGAGAAGCCACTTAGAGGCATGATAACACACACCAGAAAGCATGCCCAGTCTACCGGGTACTAAAATCAGGGCACTACCCACCACCTGTAACAAAAGCATGATTGTTGCTTGAAACAACACTCTGTACCATTACTACGAGGATGTACAGTAAAATGCCATTGTACAATGTTATCACTATATACTCTCTGTTGTGCAATATGTATGAAACGTAAAATGTAGTTTAAAGTGTCAATCCGAAACCTTTTCATCTCAATAAAAATGAAACATTTTAAAAAAAAAAGAATAAAAATGTTGCAAATGTATACTTCAGTGTTAAAAACTCAGAGGTTTTTGTGTTAGGAAAAAGAAGACAAATTTAAATTGATTCTAAAGATTCTGACATCAAGCAATGGTTAGGACAGGGCTGTTAAGCACTCAGGTGTTGTAATTATTCCACACTTGCAGGATTCTTGTAATGATATAATAGACATTGCTCGGCTTTGCTGAGAAATCTCCTACTCTTTATTTACAGACACCCTAAAAATGCTCTAAATCCTTAATATGGAAATAGGGATATTTATTTCCCATAGTGTAATTAGTATTTGTAACAAACACATGTAATTCATTATATCAGTTTTACTCTTTGGGGCCTAATGGAGCAAGTAAAAGGGAGAGGGCGGGAAGGAGGCTAGTTTAGTTGTACTAAGGCTGGTGACTGAAAGTACAAACATCACTCAAAATGGATGCATTCTAACCGGATATGCAATTCTCAAATTTCAAGGGACACTATAGTCACCAGAAAAACTACAGCTTTGTGTAGTCAGTCTCTGCAGCTTTTTTAATGTAAACACTGCCTTTTCAGAGAAATCTTGATCATCATCATATAATCAAAGGGAAATATTGGATTCAGTGCTTCTCTTTAAAAAGCATTTGATTGGATGAGAGCGGCACTTGCCATGCATGTGCTTTTCGTCCACAGTGCTTATCAATGAGAATCATTGGATTAAATAGGAAGCCAAGGAAGCAATGCCTTGACTGTGGGATGACATCACCAGAGACAGAGCAGGTGTCAGCACCAAGTGAGTATCCGTAGTGGGGGGGGGGGGAAAAGGTAAGTAATAATCTTTTCCCCCTTTTTATTTAAAGGGACACACTACCAAAAAAAAACCAAAACCAAAATACATCTCTGTTTAGTACATATACCCAAGTGAAACATGTATGCATGAATTAGTGTTTTTTTTTTCTTGGGGTATATTTAAAAACAAATTACAAAAGCTACAGTTCTCTTAAAAATTAGGCCCCCCTCCCCTTTTTTTTTTTTTTAAATACTTTTATTTCTATTAGGGCACTCACCGTTGGCATGGATGGGGGCAAGGGGAGGGGTCAATAGTTTCCCCACTTTATTCTAAATATTAATTAATATACATTGGCATGGGTGGGGACACTGGAGGGGACAATATGTCTCCAACATTTAATAACTATTAGGGCCCCAACCATCGGCATGTGTGGGGGTGGGGACTATAGGTCCCTCTCTTATTGTTAATATTAGGGCCCCCACCTGCCATGCCCCCATAAAATGTAATTTTACAGGCTGTTATTTCCACTGGGTTTTTCCTAATATCTGGTCAGCAGGGCCGGACTGGGAATGAAAAGCAGCCATGGAAAAAAATTCTATACCGGCCCCATAATGCATCGCGCCAGTTTAGTGTGCAGATAAGAAAGCGGGAAAAAAAACAACTGAAAACTGAAAACTATCACTCAAACGTGAAAGAAAGCACTCATAGGGCTTCAAAATAAACAAAAGAGCGGATTTGTTGTAAGCTGACGTGTATTTGTATATAATCCATGTTTCAGTCCATTTTCTTGATATATTTAGAAAAGTTTGGTCATTTGGACTGAAATTGTAAATGTATGCTATTGCACAGCAGTAGAAAATGATGTCATCTTGTAGGTTGTTTTTTTTACGTAATAAGAGTTTACTCTTCGCTTTGGCTGACAACTGGATAAATTTCAGTTAGTGCCAATTCAATTCCCATAGGAAAGCATTGGGGGCCTATTGCACATGTGTGGCATCAATGCATCTCTATGGGGAGCGATCAGCGCCTCCATGCAGAGTGTGCAGCACTGGACTAGGAAGCATCTCTAGTGGCCATCTGAGTGACTATCACTAGAGATGTGCATAGGCAGCAGTGTAGACACTGCCTTTCTCTGAAAAGGTAACATTTACAGAGAGTACAGGGACAGGCTATAGACACCAGTGTCACTACATTAAACTGTAGTAGTTCTGGTGACTATAGTGTCCCTTTAATACAACGTCTTTCTCTCACCGGTCGACTCTGAGTTACAAGGAGAGCAGGAGACACAAGTGAAGATGCATTTTGTTTGTGTCTTCCTCCCCCAAGCCCCTTTCATGTGTCTCTTAGCCCCAGCCCCATTTTCTATTTCTCTGTTTCCCCCGCCCTTCTGTGAGTGTCTTTCCCAGGCCCCAGCACCTCTATGTGTATCTTTCCCCACAGCTCCTCTGTGTGTCTCATTCTCCCCTTTCACAGCCCCTCTGTGTGATTCTTGTTCGTCTTCCTCAGCTCGTCTGTGTGTGTTCCCCTTTTCCAACCCCTCTGTCTCTTTCTCCCCACACACCTCCATGTGTCTTTTTACTCCCCAGCCCATCCATGTGTCTTTTTACACCCCAGCCCATTCATGTGTCTCATAACCCACAGCACTCCATGTGTCTCATTCCACCCTCTTCAGTCTTCCATGTATCTCATAAGCCCCCCCATGTGTCCCATTAGCCCCCAGCCCTCCATGTGTACCACTAGCCCTTCCTCCCTGCCCTCCATGTGTACCACTAGCCCTTCCTCCCTGCCCTCGATGTGTCCCACTAGCCCTACCTCCCAGCCCTCCATGTGTTCCTATAGCCCCCCCAGCCCTCCATGTGTCCTATTAGCCCTCTCTCCCAGCCCTCCATGTGTCTCTCTAGCACCCTCCCAGCCCTCAATGTGTCCCAATAGGCCCCCTCCCAGCCCCAATCTTTCCCAGTAGGTCCCCTCCTAGCACCCATGTGTCCCATTAGCCCCCTCCCTGCCCTCAATGTGTCCCTATACCCTCTCCCAACCCTCCATGTGTCACTATACCCTCCTCCCAGCCCTCCATGTGTTTCTATGCCCCCTCCCAGCCCTCCATGTGTTTCTATACCCCCATCCCAGCCCTCCATGTTCCCTTATACCCCCTTCCCAGCCCTCTGTATGTCCTTATACCCCCTTCCCAACCCTCCATGGGTCCTTTTCCCCCCTCAGCTCTCCCTGTGTCCCATTAGTTCCCCTCCCCAGCTCTCCCTGTGTCCCATTAGTTCCCCCCCAGCTCTCCCTGTGTCCCATAAGTTCCCCAGCTCTCCCTGTGTCCCGTAAGTTCCCCAGCTCTCCTGTGTCCGTGGTTCCCCCAGCTCTCCTGTGTCCCATTTGTTTCCCCTCCCAGCTCTCCCTGTGTCCCATTTGTTCCCTCCCAGCTCTCCCTGTGTCCCATTTGTTCCCAGCTCCCTGTGTCCCATTAGTTCCCCTCCCAGCTCTCAAGGTGTCCCATTAGTTCCCCCCAAGCTCTCCCTGTGTCCCATTAGTTCCCCCCCAGCCCTCCCTGTGTCCCATTGGTTCCCTCCCACCCTGTGTTCCATTAGTTCCCCCCCAGCTTTTAATGTTTAGCAGACCTGCCCCACATGCCAGATTCCAGGTAGGTGCATATAGAGGTTTAATACGGCAGCAATGGCTGCCCTGTCCCTAATTTTTAATGTTAAGCAAATATGTCCCCACCTGTGCCATACCTCCATTATAGCAATATGGGGTCTTAATTATTTATTTATTTATTTTATTTACTTTAGTAATGTGACGCCTGGCTAGCAAGCGCTGGTCAGGTGCCACATAATGTAATTCACACATCGCCAAAGGATTTCAAAAACACCCAATGGGCACATAGCTCCTCAAATTATGAATTAATTTGAAAAAAAACACAAATTAATTATAATTTGCAAACGTGCATCCTGCCTCATGCATTACTTTTATCATTGGCCGCCATGTGGTCATCAATAAATCTCAGATTCCAGTGCTGTACATTAGTTTGGATGCAAAAATCTAAAATTTTCTGAACTCATCCAAACAAATGTTACAGAATTGATCAGACCAATCAAATTCTGACTGCATTTGGTTTTATTATATATATATATATATGTCATTGTTTAGTGAATAACTCTGTTAGTGATAAACTGCTTGAAAATGGTTTAACATAGAAAAGATAATGAATTAACATGACATACCCAGATATAGATTTTAAAGTCTTATTCTAAATATTTTCATTTGAAACAAACTGTTTTTTAATCATGGAATAAGAACATGAATGTCTAATCCAAGTTAGTAATAAAATCCTAAACCTGTTTTTCTAGAAACTTGAGCTATTGTACATTTTTGGGAAATTAGGGATGTGCACATTTGTACTAACCCAGCTTATTGTGAATTGTCTTAATCCAGGTGCCTGTGCGATGGACAGACGTCAGAACACATACATAATGGAAAATGGCTTCAAAGGTAGGGATGCTGGAAATCAGTGAGAGACTGAATGGCAGGGAGTTGTCATCATAAAGCAGGTTTTATTGGGCAAAATTAGTGGCAATAATGAATGCGTTAAGTAAGAGTATGGCTGTGTAGAACATGAATTTTGGAATTTAAAATCTCAAGTCACTACTGTTAAAAAATATATAACTAATACTTGTATAAAACAGTGCTTTCTCCGATTGCTCACAGTCATACCTTCATATACACATACCACCTGCAATCATACCTTCATATAGCTACATTGCTGTGCATTTATATCTCCATATAGTCATGCCACCAATTGCAAACCTTTACATATTGCTATGCCTTCACACCTACATATTATACCTACTTATAACTATAATGCAAGATATCTACATAACCATATCGACATACAATCCTGCCCCCATAGAACCCTACCACGAAACATTCATACCTTCACATAACCATACTGCAATACCTCCACTTAATCATATTGGCATGCAGTCATACTTTCATGTAACCAAAGTGCCATACATTCATGCCTCCATATAATGTGGGTTCCATATATACATATTTTCATATAACCATACCGCTATACCTCTGCATAACCATATCAGCATATAATCAAAAAAACATATAATCATTGTGTCGTACGTATCTCCATATAGCCATACCGCAAAGCAATCATAACACTATATGATTAGATCACCAGATAATTCACATAACCATGTCACCATATAATCATGCTTCTATATAACTGTATTGCTGTACAATCATAACTACATGTAACCATACAGCCATACCTTAGCATAATCAAAACTTCATGCAATTATACTGCTATATAACAATACTTCCATTATACCTTCAAATAACCAAATCTTCATACTACCATACTTCTGTACAACTTGCCAGAGTTTTTTCCATCATTACTCTCTGGTTTTTTAATCTTCAGTATTTGATAATACTGATATGTCAAGTTACTGCTTCAGACTGGTGACTCTGTTGTAGGTTTTAACCCTGTAAATGCAACGTTTAAATTATACATCTGTGGCCAAGGCCAAACAGTTTGCAATGGACAAATCCCTTAGATGTTACAGAGACCCATGATTGCAGTGCTGCATGACTAAGTTTGCAAGTGTCAGGTGTGTACTGACTAACAAGGTAGGATTAATATGGTATAGATAGTCAAGGATGGAAGGACGAGTTGCCAACCTTAGAGTGGTTGGAGTTAACATGCCATGCATTATTAAACATTATTAATGTTTCAAGTAATGTCCCTAAAAAGATAAAAGAAAAAAATTTCTTAATGGAAAGGACAGAAAAAAACCTACACCAAAATAGGCATTGAGTGGATAGGAAAAAAATCCCCCTCCCCCAAAACGGGGGGTGGTATTAAAAAATCTGAATAAACTAGAAATCTGGGTCTAAAGCTATTAAAAAAAAATCTATCTGGGAAAAAAAAAGAAAACTGTGTAAAGAAAAAACACACTTCAAATAGGTGAAGCAGCAAAAACAAGAATATGCCCAGGTAGTTTAGGGGCTCCAGACGTCAGGGTAATCGTGTAGTTAGCCAGGTGTCAGTAAAAGCAGCAGACAGAGATTGATTTAAAAAAAAAAAGCTGGGTCACAAACACAGATAACTGAGCAACTAGAATCAAGACACAGCAGCCAACATTCCTGTGATGTCTAAACCACAAATGGTACTGATGGCACTAGGGAATGAGAACGAATATACCTGGCTGTGTCACTACCAAGTGGTGGCTGTCACACAGGATGTCCAGGTGTTGCCAGCTTCAAATAGTCTGCTAAGATGCGTAAATAACACTGGTGGGCCCGCATTCTTCACAATGTCCCCTCCCTGAAAACCACTGTCTGGGCATGTACCATCTGGCTTCTGCAAAAATTTGTCAAATAACTTTTAGACTCTCTAGTCTTACCTGTTTCTGTGCAGAGAGTGTAGTGAGGAAGATCATGAAGACTGTTATTTTTGTTGCTGTTTTTTTGACAATCAAAAAATTATCAACATTGTATAACAGTAAGTAGAGGAATAGTAATATACAATAATAAGACATCGATCAGATATGAGGCTGTTTTGTGCATTCTTTACCCAAGGTTATTTCCAAGTATGATAAGTAAAGCACATATGCTATGACTAAGTGCCCACACCCGGTTCAACTGGATGGTGGGTTGGGTATCACCTCCCCTTCTCTTTGTGCAGCAAGCATACCTTATCCCTACTCAGAAATTTAAGCCACTCCAGCTCACTCGGACAATGGGATATAGGTAATGATGGAAGAATATGAAGACGATGGTAGCGATAGGATAGAAAAGGGGGGAGGGGCCCTCGGCAAAGGGTAAGAGCATGTGTGCATTGTATGTTTTTAGGTCATCCTCTAGACACATACTGGATCCAGGGTGAACATGTGGCTATGTATTTTACGGTCATCGGGTTGGCCGATTGCTGCCTCCATCATATTTATTTCATCAATTCGCTACAGCCATTTTGTATGCTGAGGGCAAAGGTCGGTCTTCCCGAGGAGCGGAATCAGGCCCCTCCTCCTCCATCAACGTGTATTTCTTGAGTGACTTTTGTACAAATCACCAGGAAAGCGAAGTGTTCTGTAGCATCATGTTAGGCATTAAAAGAAGATTGGATCCCGGGATTTCCTCTATATGCCTGTTGACATCTCTCTAGTATGTTGCCAGGTTTGGATATGCCTGGAAAATATGTAGCATAGTACCCCAAGCGGACTGACAGCGCCAGCAGAGGTTTGGCAATTTTGGTAATATTCCGTGAAGGGTCGTTGAGTGTCAGTACCATCGGCTTAGGATAAAGAGGGAGCTTTTTCAGGAGCAGGTTAATTTTTTAATATTGATCCTCTCCATCCAAGAAAGGTCCAATACTTCAGGTCACTTGTTAAGCAGGTCAAGATCAGTAAGAAGTTTTGCCTATATAGCTTGAATACTTCCCAAACCCCGAGATCGCTCATCTGAGATTTACACCCCAAATGGGAATCCATCCCTGATCTGCCGAAATTGAGAAGTCGTCACCTCGGATTCACATAACAGAGTCTCAGACTTGCATGTTCAGTTTCAGGTTTGAGAAGCATCCATAAAGTCAGAGACGTACTAAAAAGCACCGGTAGTGACACAGCCAGGTTAGAAATGAAAAACAGCATGTCATTGGCAAATGCCAAGACTTTGTTCTCTCTGCCCCTAATCCTGTATACATCCCACGATATCTGGGCTTGTTCTAACTGCTGCCAAAAGCACCTCGAGCGTCAGAACAATAGTAAAGGTGGCAGCAGGAAGCCCTGTCTTGTTTCATTCGAAATGCTGATCTACTCCGTCAGAGCGCCAGTTATGTCAATCCAAGCTGTAGGTATGGTGCACATATCTCCTATGAGTTTAAGAACCTGGGAAACCCCATGCATTTCAATACAGCCACAATGAATCCCTAGTCTACTCTGTCAAACGTCTACTCAGCATTCATTGACCAGAGCAGAAGGGGATTAGCCGTTGATTTGGCCAGATAAATGAGGTTGAGTGCCTGCATCATATTGTCTCCTGCTTCCCAGCTTGAAACAAAGCCAGATTGGTCCCTGTGGACCATCTCCAGCAGGATGCGATCTACTCGAAGGTCAAACACTTTGGCAAGTAACAAAATCGCTCTATAATTGGTGCTGAATGTGTTGTTCTTTCCTTCCTATGGTAGTATGGTATGTACGCTGCCAGTGAATCTCTCCCAAGTCTACCGTTCCCCAGTAGTGAGTTGAATGCTTTTGTTAACCCCTAAGAATATCCCCGAAAGTTTTATAGTAGCTAGTGGGTAACTGTCTGGACCCAGCAATTTTCCTGTCTGAGAGTGCCTGATAGCCAAACGCGATTCGTCTTCAGTGCTGTTGGTGTCCATTTACTCCTTGTCGTTGTTTGCGATGCTGGTCGTCACATATTCATCCAGAAAGTCTCTCATATCTTGGGGTGCTTCTTGATCAAATAAGCCGGTCTGGAAGGGTCAGATGTTGTTATAATTATGAAATGTGGAACAAATGTCCTTTGGGAATGGCTACAAATGCCCTGTGGGCGTTTTAAACTTGTGGATACGTGTTTGCATCCGTTGCTTGCGTAATAAGTTTACCAACATCCGTCTACACTTATTGGAATGTTTGTAGTAGGACTTTTGAGATTTCAAAAGAAGATGTTGTATGTTCAACTGCAACAGGTCCAACAGATCGTGACATGCCGCAGTCTGTTCCCTATAAGTGTTTTCAGAGCCGTCTGCCTTATGGCTTCAGAAGTAGCGCTGAAAGTGCAGAAATAAACACTGAAAGCTGTGGAAATATTGATTGTTACAGCAAAGTTCATCCAAGGCAACAAGTCTGACCTATTGTCCTTTTTCTCAGCTACAAAACGTTTTGCTCCAGAGCATGCCTAAGCATGTTTTGCCCCATTGGTTTGGGGGTGAAAGGATGAAGAAAGCATCAAGTAGATATCTCTGATTTAAAGTGCCTTCCAAATTGTGCTACAAACTAGCTCCCTCTATCAGCTACAATGTCAGTATAGAGACCATATAATCAAAAGATTTCTTATAATTATCTAGATGTGGGGATTATATTCAAATGTATGGTATGTGCAATCTTAGAAACTTAATTACAGACATCAGTACTATACCAGTACTATAGTGTATGTTTTAGAAATAGGTAATTCAGGAAGTGGAGCTTAACAGCGCACCGGAGAGCTCGCCATTTCTCTTAGCTCTGAGTGTCCGTGACCTAATCTGCTAAAAACCTACGCATCGAGCCTCATCCAACCTTCAGACTGACGGGCACTGCCTCCAGACATTGTGCTGATTTTTTTTTCTCCTGAACACAAAATACCGCAGCCGGGGATTTAAGGCTCATCACATGGTCAGGCGACCCCGTGAGTTTGACGGGGGATAACAAGTGTGGGATAACAACCCGACCGCGACACTACTACTGAGATGGGGCGACAATCTCAAAAAAACGCTTCCTCTTGCCTCTCAACCAACCTTGCCAGCCCAGGCTCAGGCTTCGCAGGAGGCCTGACCACCAATGACAATTGAAATAGACTCCCTACGCAGCCCAGCTGTAGAGAAGCCTAATCAAGAGACCCCACAAGAAGCAGACAACTCTGCCCCTGCATTCAGCTCATGCTTGCCTTCGAGGTCAGAGAGCTTCTTGAGTCAGTGCCCTTAGACAAGCTCACACATTTTATCAGATGTCTGGTGTCCTCATTCTATCTGACTAGATTAGCCTGATGACAGCGCTCAAGGGGAAGACACCCTATGAATTTGAGTCATGTCACATCACCCTCTTTCAGGACTTGAGTAGGTACACATTGCTCTGGCGTAAATCCATGTAGCCCATTACCAAGGCTCTCCAAAATGCTGGACTATCCTACCGTTGGGCAACTCCTGCGTCACATATAGTCACCAAGGATGGGAAAACGCACAAGGCCTCAGATCCCAATGAAGGTACGACTAGCGTAGAGTGGTCTATCCGACCACAGCATAACCTCACAAGGACAGCCTCGAGTTCACTCATGGAGCGTGGATAACATACATAACTGCATTTGTGCCCAGAAATGTAGGAGATTCAACAACCTGACCCATCCCCTGCAATCCATCTACAATATATATGTTTGCATTGTTTTTCTTATGTTATTATTGTTTTACTTAAAAGTTCTCTAGTGGTTTGATACCTTAGGTGGTTGAGAGAGCTGCTTTGCCCTGTTTCCATATAACACGTGTAGGGTCTTCCAGGGCTGTGTCACCATCACCTCTCATGTTTAAACCCTAGACGCATATGACTGGCTAAAGCCGGCTCAGGCAACTCTTTTGTGGCTCCAATTTCTGTATAGCTTTTACCTAATGTCCCTTTCTATAGCTATATATGCTGTCCACTTTCACCTGGCATGACCATATATAGTCAACCATTATCAACTATGTTACTGCCAGGGCACCTTAAGTGCTGATCCCAGCACAATACCACTGTAGTAGAGGTAGTTATTATAGTGACCCACAAGGATCTATCCTAGGAGTTTTAATGCGGGCTAGGGGTTTACAGCATGCAACATAATATTTTACATAATTTCGTAAAGAGGGCCACCGTTAGAAGTGTGACAAGTGGTTTTAGAATGGCAAGCAGACTTGAAATCCTGTATATATTGAAAGAGGGTGGTTGGCTTTTCTCACTTGGAAGAAACAAGCACTTTTTTTATTTGCATACAAGTTTCAAAAGGAAATTTTAGGCTTAATACAATTAAGGCTATTATTTGATTTCTGAGAAGGGTTTAGGAGAGATCAAAACATCACCATTTACATAAAACTGCTTTGTACCAGGTCTGTATGTGATTACGTAAGAAAAACAAGATAATATGCCTTGGGTTCAATATCTTGGCCTTGTTGATATATTGGATATCTGTTAAGACTGTTAGAGGGGCATTGGTTCCTTCCAAATGGTGATAATCATTCAATAAGAGCTATAATAATAGCCAATAACTCACTATTGCCAACATCATAATTACATTCTGGAACAATTCATTTCTTCAAGAAGAACCAACTGGAATGTAACAGGGCATTGTATGTCACTTTTTGAGATAGAACAGCCCCTGCTCTTATTTCTGAGGCATCAACTGCAAGAGCAAAGGGAAGTATGGTATCTGGAAGGGCCAAAGGAGTAGCTGGGTGAAAGCGTTATGAGTTTGTCAAATGATTGCATTGCGGGTGAATGGCAGTGTTTAGTTTTGGCTGCTTTCTTGACTAATGCTGTAAGTGGATTCACTGCTTTAGAGTAAGTTCTAATAATCTTACAATAGTAATTCAGAGAATCCAAGGAATCTTTGGACCTCCTATAGACCCAGAGGTTGAAGCCACTTGAGAAGGCCGACATCTCAATTTCATAGAAATGATATACCCTAGAAAGGGCATTGATTCTTGCGCAAATAGATATCTCTCTAGTTTGGCATACAAATGAGTCTTTTGTAACACTAAACACTAAAGTCTGAGTTTCTGTAACACTAAACACATGTTTACGCCTCAATCTGCAGACCCACCACAAACACAAGGATATCATCCATATGTACAATTACAAACAAGTTGGGATAGTCCTTGAAAACACAGCTTATGAACTCCTGAAATAATGTAGAGGCATTACGCAAGCCAAATTGCATAAGTAAATATTCAAAATGCCCAATGTGTGTATTGAATGTGGTTTTCCACTCGTGCCCTTCCTTAATTCATGCAAGGTTTTACTCCTCAGGCAGGATCAGTTTGGAAAACACGCTGTATCCCTAAATTCATATGATCTGTGGAGAAGTAGTTTCTCAGATTTCTTTTTTTTTTTTTTTTAAGACACTTTCATAATCCCTTTGGTTTCTAAGTACAGGTATTGGTGGAGGAGGAAGCACATGTTAGCATGTACTGTTACTCGCAATGAGTGGCCATTGATAGAGTGAGAGCATCTCATGACACTCTCAACCTATCACCGGCCACCAAGACATAGTTTCATGTTCACTGTGGCGAACAAAAGGAAGTACAGGGTGACCGTGTGGACAGGAACTAGTGGGACAATTTTGGGGTTAAGCCATTTCAAATTTGTTAAACCATGTGAGGTAAGGCTCCGCCCAAGAACTTCAGTCACCATTACAACTTAGTTGTGATTAAGAGGTTTTGGAATAGGGTAACCCTTTTTTTTATACACACCCTCATAATCTCTTATTGACAAATGTTAACAACAAAGTCAATTGAGTATTTATTTGACATTATATGATTTCAAATTTCTAACAAGTTAGTTAATCACATAGCATCAATTGTCGGTGCTGTTTATCTGATGTTGACAAATCCAGGAGCAAAAACCAGTTCAGCCAAACAACGATTTCACGGCTGTCACTGGACAGACTAGCTATGTGCTGGTTATTGAGTTAAAATTGTGTTATTGGTTGCAACACTACCTGTAATGATGCAAACGTTCTGTGGATGCAGTATCAGCTCAAGATTGTTTTGTCGGAAGCTTCATGAAGTAAGCTCACCGTGTGCCTTACAAGCAGCTTGGCACTGCTCACTAGTAGAATGCTAGTTACATTTTGACCTTTTTGTCATGCATTAATTCTTCCACAATATCACCCTTTCCTTACACATTATATAATTTGTATTATTATGTATTATATGTATACATAACACAATATTATCTATAAATAACTTTATACTTTACATATAACAATCTCTACAGTGCAGCTGAAGAAAACTAACTCAAAATTGATTCACGAATTAGTCCTGATTATCAAAAAACCCAAAATGTCTTGGAATTTCTGTGAATTAAAATAGTTTTACAAATAAAACGTTGCAAAATTTGGCATGCTGAGATTACAACTTTTAAAGTAGTAAAACTTCTACACAAAAGTATATATTTGTGGAACGTATTTAACCAGGCTATTTAATTAAGAGCATTTTGACATTTTTCATTTAACCATTTTCTCATGAACTCCAGTCAAAATGTTTATTTACATGTGTTTAATTTTCGGCAAGTTTTGCATGTCCTTCTGCTGTAAACACACCATATTTGTATTGTGCTTCTGTTCTCGAGTACAGTGATACCCCACATGTATACCTTTTCCTCTAATACCTTAAAATGTAAGCTTGTTTGAGTTGGGCCCTTAGCACCTTCTGTAGGGGGCGGACTGAGAACCTTTGTGGCCCCCGGGCAAAATTAGATCCCAGGCCCTTTGAAGGCCAAATATATGCCACCAGAGTGAGGGAGGGAGGGGGTGACTAGTGACAGAGTGAAGGAGTGACTAGTGACAGAGGGAGGGAGTGACACCCCATTTTTCCCTTGCTCCCTGTTATCCTCCATCAGGGACCCCACAACCTATCAATGGAAAATATATTTTTTTTATTTTGCCGTTCCAGTTGGAGAGATCTCTAATGCTGCAGTCATCACTCTGAACATTGCACATAGCTTATTTGTCAGTCTGGGGCTCAGCTTACAGAGGGAACCCTCTGATATCGAAACGGTTAAGGAATTCATCTCCGCAAGGGCGAATGGAAGCTAACTCCAGCAACAATACTACAATATCGAATGAGAGTACCTCATAAAAGAGGATACCAGGCTGGAAATAGGGGAATGACACTTCAATATTTGACAGATACACTTTCAAAATAGTTTTATAAATGCTGACATAACTGTAAGGGCCAAATTCAGGTGCTCAAGGTCTGCTTGTATGTAATTCAGATAATTGTATGTAATAATGAAGATATATGGGCAAAAAAGAGGGAACACCATTTGTGACTTTCTCAGCCAGTCAGTGCACAACAGCTTAATTACTGAAGGCCGCCATTATTGTCCAATGAAGACTGCTTCACATTACTTTGAAGACCATGTGCATTAATGTATACATTTTTACTTTGCATAGCAATATGCAGGTTTAAATTACTACTAAATAGAATTGTAAAGGAACACTCCAAGCATCATAACCATTACTTCTTACACAGGGTCCACCAGGTACCACTGACACCTCCACTGCTGGGATAAAAAAAAACTGTTGCTCTACCATTTTATTTCTACAAATGACCTAACTCTTTGAATGTGCAAAATATTTTTATTGTGCAACAAAATGTAATATTATAAATATAATATATGCATAAGTTGTCATGCCATTTGCACTGAAACCTCTAAATAATATCTGGTGCAACCAGTTGCATTCAGATTTAACATAACTTGCAAAGTGGAGTTGGAGACTGCCTGTGTGCAATTAAAGTGTAACATGGTAGCATAGAATTGGGATATATGAATCAGTATTGAGTCATGTGATATCCCAATCATTGAACATAACCTGGAGTACTTTAAAATTAATTTTTAAAAAGTAAAAAGAATTTGGCACAATAGCGGCTCGGCCAGGAAACCGATCTCAACCAAAACGCAATGAACGGCTTAGGAGTACATTGGTCAATGAAGCAACCAATGTAATTCTGAAGGAACTGGAGAGATCTGCAATTGAGATGAGTTAACTATCCCTGCAACAATATTAACTTAGACATTCCTTAAAGTGGGGTTTCACGTTGATGATTTAAATAATGTAAAGTGAACCTTTCGTAACAGATTCACTTCATACTTATCAACAACCCCTCTACTTCGGCACCACCACCTTGTAGGGGTTTGTGTGGTTTAAACAACTGTAACACCCACCTTCGCTTGCTCCCCTTGCCTGTTGGGATTGGTCGTGCTTGTTGATACTTTATCAAGCATGGCAATCCTCATTACGGACACTGCCAGCACACTGGCATCAGCAGCAGTGTGAGGGTCAAGCTTGATAACTGCCTGGGGCTGGGTTCTCTTGCTCCACAGCATTAGACCTGTATGCAACCAGCACACGTGTCTCAGGCCGAGGATTTGATTGACAGGTAGGGGAGGAGCCTACATTTTAAAGTGAATTATTTTAAAAAGCTATACATTTGCTAGCATAATGTATAGATGGAATTTAATGCTCTTTGAAGTGAGATTGGCTAGTGTGTGTCATGATAGATACACTTTAAAGGGAACCTCTAAGCACTGTATTCACTTCATCATAATGACGTGATTCCGTTACATACGGTATATGCATTCCTTTTTTGTTGGACAATGTAAAACATTGTTTCTGTGAAATACAATATTTACTTATTGACAAAAACACACACCTCTAGTTGCTGAAAGACAGCCAGCCAAAATAGGTGCTTTCTCCTAAATGTGGCAAATGCTTTACATAAACAAGCGTTGGTTTGACTTGAATGTCTCACTGTGGGCAGATAAGGCATTTGCAAGGAGTTTGACAAAGTACCAGATTGAAGATAGGTTTAGATGCTTTCACCAACATTTTTTTTAACAATTTAAATCATAAAATGAATACACCTAGTATAAGAATAAATATATTTATTTTTACCATTCGAGTGTTCAAACATGTCTTCCAGACACTATAGTGTTAAACTAACTATTTAGGCATCCACCCCCTCCCTCTGTGTAGTAAAAACGTGAGTTTACTTACCTTTTCTCCCATGCCGTATCGGTCTCGCCATGTCTGGACCCACCTTGCTCCGCCTCCATGGCTGAGATCATCAGACATGTGCGGCAAAATGCTGTGATGCTCCAGTCAGCATCTCCCCGTAGATATGCAATGCATCCGGGGAATATTCAGCCCCTCCATGCAGAAAGTCGAGCCGGTGAGCGACAGTGCTGCATAATGTGCCGCACTAGACTAGGAAGCACCTCTGACAGCCACCAGAGATGTTCCTAGGCAACAATATAAACACTGCCTTTTCTATTTATATTGAAGCTTTGACTCTGGCTTGTTTGCCTTCTGTGACATCACCGTGAAATTATGTTCATCTAAATATATCAACAGTTTATATGTTTTGTTTTGTTAAACACATATTATAGCTTCTTTTGTTAATTGGACTTTAAATGAGCCTTATCAAATGTGTGGATTCTCTATCAGTTCTCTTTGCAAAGTATTTATAGTTTTAAAATGAATTAAAGAAGTGTGTAGGGTTTGATGTTGTGACTGACAGTAGGATCCATGGCTGGAGACCATTCCTGAATATCAAGAAAAATACAAATAGGTACACACCCAAATTTCACACCCTCTTATATCACTAGCATGTCTGTTGAACGCACAAGAGAAAAGGCTTGCAAACAAACGAGTTCTGCGTATACACACCTGTAGGCAGTACTTCCCCATTTTACTGTGAGCATTATTACCGTGGAAACAACAATCGTTGTGTAGGCAAAGCTACACACTGGAGCAATCAATGAACACATTGTTCAAAACTCATCTAAAAAGTTATTGACTTCTTGCAAGTAATTGTAAGGGTTATTAACTAATGTAAGAATTGTTAAGTATTCAAAGTGTATTTTACATTTAGTAGCCAAACTTGAAACATAGCTAGTTTGGCTTCGTGTCCTTATAGTTAAAATTCCTTTGTAATTCCAGACAATGCTCACATTAGTGAATAACTTTGCTAGTGTATGGTGTGTGTGGTTAAATGGCCAGTATGGTATGAAAAAAATGGTTCTGGTTTATTTTAGATCTGGTAGATTTCACCTACTATTATTGATACACATAATCGACATTTTATTAAATGTGCAAGGTTCAGCTGCAGATTTTTCAAGAGTAGATAGGTTTAAAACAGTTGGATTGCTAATTGGTATAATGGACAGTTTGGTCACTGTGGTCAAAAGCCTGGCCAATGAGAGCAAACACAGAGAACTTTTGGGCACTGCAGTTTCTGTGTTCAATGTTTCCCACGATAACCCACAAGACCAAAAAACCCATCAACTAAGCATCATGGGAAACGTAGTCCAAAATATCTGCAAAACCAAAAGGTGAACAATCGTATTTGATCATGAGTATCTCTAGCAATTAATGCATTTCAACTGCTGACAGAGGTTTCTGTGAGTTGTAACTGGAAGTTAATATTTTTTCTGCAGTTACAGGTATTTCATGTTTCCCTACTGTATTTGTTATTTAAAATTAGTAGCATATTGATTTTTGAGAAGCACTTACTTGTTTAAATGAAATGGGGAGTAACATAGTGAGCACAATGTTCTTTAACAGTTTAAGGACACATGCAGAACCAAATGTGTTCCTTTCTCCTTCCACTAGAAGTTTGTATCATTCCAAATTTCTTAATACTTCCTTTTCTCCTACATCATCCTTCACCTGTTCCATCTTGCGCATGTTTCGTTGAACCTTATTAACATCATAAAGTATCCCAGATCAGACAGAATGCAATCTAACCACATGTTACAGCCAATCCCTGTTTTTGCTTGGAATGATCTATTTGCATGATCATTAAATAGTCTTATTCTAACATTTCAAAAGCTGGCACTACCCGCTCCAAGCACAGTCTGTTTTGTTTTTGGTTTTTTTCTTTAAACAGACACTATTGTCTGTAATAACCTTGCTGCCCCTCTCTATTTCACACACAAATCTGTTATCTGCTACAATCACCAGATAGATAATGTGAAAAGAATAGGATTGTCTGTAACAGAAAACTAAAACCTAGCCTACTCCATTTAACTACCTCTGATCTACCAGTTTTTCTTACCTCCAAGACATTCCACCCCTTGCCTTTTTTCCTTTTGCCTCCTGAGCCCCATGGCATATCCCCCAATTTCTTTGACTTGTGTTTGTTGCTTTTTGCAGATTGTGTGAAAGAGTCAGGGTGCAGCTCCAGCACCTGCTCACTAAGCAGCAGTGAGAACCCTTATGCAACCATTACAGACCCCCCTGTGCAGTCCTACAAACACTCAGAGAACAGCTACGTGGAAATGACATCACCTGTCCATAAAGACGCCCCATATTCAGATATACCACCCTCATCCAAAGCTAATAAAAATGTATATGACGTGGGTAAGTGCCAGACTCCATGCCAGCTGTATATATGTATGGCCCAACTCACTTCTAGGCACACGCCTTCTAATTACAGGGCATGGATGGAACATTCTATTGGTATATTTATATATACATCTGTGTGTGGCTCTCTTGCTTCCTATCTCATTCAGTTAGTTTCTTTAAAAAAAAAAATCTTCTTGGCTATTGCCCTGTCAAACACCTGCTGTTATCTTTATTGATCTTCTGGTGTTTTTTGGGATACAAAAATTAAAGGGTACATGGGAGTATTGTCACGGTTAACACTTTTGTTGTTGCTGTTAAACACCTATATTCCAGTGCAAATAGCCCCTTATTGCACGGGATGAGCACGCAATATGTGTTCTAGATATACAAAATATTTGTACCTTCTAGGAAGATGAATGAATGCAGGGAGTGACGCAAACTCAGGTCTTCACCTGGCCATCACTTGTTATGCCTGTATTGGACTGTGTCCTCCTGCCAGGATAGGTTGACTACATTCCCATCTTAGCAGACACCATTGTCCCCAGTTACATAGTTCAACTATAGATGATGATATGTGATCTGACCTTTCAACTACAGAGATACATTTGTTGTTTTTTTAATCTTACAGACCAGCGCCAAGCACACTTAATTTTTGACAGCATAACCAACCTCTTTATCTATCAACTTAAGATAGAGTTAAGCAGGGTTTTCCTCCCCATCAAAATTCAACTAGCTGAGCTTTTGTGCCATGGTATGACATTTTTTTTTATGGAACAGCAGTAGACTAGGTCAGGACAATAAAGGTGAACTCGCACTTGGAATGTCAGTTGACCAACCTTGAAAGTATCTTCTTTGTCAGGGCCTGGACAATTGAGCTGTACAAGAGGAAGAGCTTATCCTATAGTCATCATAAATTCCCAAAGGACATCAACAAAAACTGGTATAGATACATTAGGGCACTGAACAGCTCTTTCTCCTGGGCATCAGAGCAAATATGCCAGGCAGTTCATCAAGTTATCAGTTTTTCTTGTACGTTTTTATTCAACCTTATATAATATAAAAGTAGAGAACAAAAAAGAAAAGTAGTGAAAATTATACAGGTGTATATGCCAAAAAACAACTAGAAAAACCATGTTTCCACACAGTCCAGGGGTAATTAGACAGGAGAGCTGCAACTCAAAACAATTTAAGTACCACAAGACATCAATCCTAAACATTGGGTTGGTGCATGTAGCTGTGCTGTCATCCAGCCTCCTGTTGTCCACACAGAAGCAGGTGTTTCTGTCTTTAGTATAAGTACCATGGGAGAGGCCCCAGGACTACAGCAAAGATTAAATTACTCTTAGGGCAGCATGTAGCTAATCTCAGCCTTTATACTAGAATGTACGGCTTCAGGTACTTGATAATAGGGCTGTTGGGTAGGTCTCTGTCTTGATGTCTCTAATTATTATTGTTATTATTGCCATTTATATAGCACCAACAGATTCCGCAGCGCTAATGCCTTCTTTATGTCAAGGTTCAAAAATGTCTACTCACCTAGCGACCACTGCACATCCATTAAAGGAACACACCACTACCCAAATAAAACCTTTTTTTTTTTTTACAGTTAAAATCACTGTTTTATAGATATACCCTATATGGATTTATGTATACATTTTTCATTAGGGATATATCTAAAAACAGCTTGCAAAAGCTGCAGATCTCATATCTGCTGCCTTTGCAAGCCTTCCTCTTTTAACCCCGCCCAGACTGTCTGTGGCTGTCCAATCACAGACATTCCAGTGCAGCTCAATGAGAAGTCTTTGCAAGGCAGGTGCTCTGAGCAATTGCTACCACTTGAGTTTAGCTCCACTGAGCTGAAGAACTAGGGAGAAACGGGACTGGTTGTCTGATTGAAAGCCAGAGGGTCTAACAAGATTATTTTATAAAATGTGCCAGTGAAAAGAAACAAAAAAAGCACAAACTCTTCACAAATAAACTACTAGAGCAAGATAAAGTGCTTTAGTGGTCTGGAGTGTCCCTTGAATTTCTGCTTATTTACTAACGGGAACATGCTAGGCTTACATACAGCCTTGAGAAATTTGGTCCAGTTGCCTTCCTGGTCTCTGACTAGCAGGACACCTCATCTCTCTCTAAACTAAAGTATTGCTTCGGCAAATCATATGGAAGGATCTCTGCAATGAGATGATCAGGCTTATGCCTAAAAAGTTGTTCTGATGTATGATGACAGAGCAGCACTTTCTTTCCTAAATAGATCTATTAGACTTGAGGCTTGCCTGTTTGGTCTTGCCAAACCTTCCATTTAGTTTCAGCCTACCAAAGGTCCTAAAAGGGATCAAGCAACAAGCACCCATAACTAAAAAGGGAGGGAGAATCTAATGGATTAGTGCAGCACCTCTCTTTCAAGAAATAGGACGGGGGCAGGCATAGCTCCCAGTGAGACTCGGACTATACATATATACAGCATACATTTAACATCATTAATCTGAGGAGAGTAGTGCATTGATCTGAAAGCACTACAAAGTTGCCAGATCTGACGAAGCAAGTTGAACATAAACTCCAGATAAGCTAAATCAAGCCAGACATAAACTGTTTGCCTTGTTCTGTCAAAATATAAGTGGGGAAACCCACCCTTGTAAATTATTAAAATGAACAGCTTATCAACCGACTCAGCTGTGATTTTGGATTGTACCACAGTTTCTATGTGGCACTATAGTGAGGATGCATATCTTGTCCTGATGGCTTGACCTTGAAAATCAGCCTTCTTCATCCATGACCATCCACTGACGGTGTTCACAGACAAAGGAAGAGCCTAGAAGAGCAGCAGAGAATGTTGCAAGTACAGCAAAACGTGGCCATACGTATAGCATCCTCCACTAAAATCAGGCTGCAAAGATTAATGCAAATTACTGCTGTAAAAAGAAATATGTGTAGGGAGACAGGGATGGGAGACCCTCTTGCATCATAAGCTATGTAAAGAACATGAAATAAGGTGCTTGGAATGACCATTTAATGAATGTGGCTTACTACTGTGACAGAGATGTACTTATATGTATATAATAGCTTTGCTGTGTATTTGCCAAAAGTACTAAAACATAATAGATCACAAACAGTGGAATGCAAAAGTGTAATTTTTCATTAATATCATTTTTTTTTATTTGACAACTTTTATAACTTCACTTTGATTAATAATAATAACAAAAATATTTGTGCCAGGTGATGGACTCTAGTTGAATAGTGTTATAATATAGCATCAAACATTTTGCACAGGAAATGTAACTTTTTTACGTGTTGAATTTGTATCATACATAATTACAACCTTTTATGTGTTTGATCTGTATAAAAAGTTAAAATCCAGGAGCCAAAAAGAAAAACTGTGTTGGGATCCAAAAATGTTAAAATACATATTTGTTGGTGATGTTAAATAATACAGGGTGCTTTTATAAGACCTGCCTTTTGTGTTGGAGGATTTTAACAGAGAACTAGCATTACCATTTTTTTTTAATTCTCATCAAATTGCCTCCTTGAAGTATCCCAAATTAATTTTCTGACGGAACAGAATCCCATTCATTGAGCTCTGAAAAATGTAGACTGATTTGATACAAATAATAACACAAATGTGTAGTGTGCTTATTAAAACAGATAAGGAAGTAAAATGCAGTTAGCATAAAGACGAACAGATAGGCTGTTATAGGATTGCAGCATCCTCCATGAAAGGAAATCTAACCTAAAGTTCCCTATTTCCTGCTTCCTCCTGGCTGTATTGTGTTGACAAACAGATATTAAATTGCTGAATATTTATACTGGAGCAGAATTGTGAACAGCTTTGCATATCTTGTCAATTGAATAAGACCTTTGGCAGAAAAACTCCATTAAGAGTCATTTTTAACTATCCTGCACTCACTTGATTATATCAGAAATGTCTCTAGCTGGTATCAGTGTTACTGGAAGAAGGGAGAAGAAAGCTGGAGGTGAAAAAATGTTTAAATGGATACTATTGACACCAAACAACTTTACCTTAAAGGCTTTCTCCAGACATTTTTCGAGTTTTAAGAATCCGGAAGTCCCTCTAGTGGCTGTTTATGAAAACTGCAATAATTACACTTCCAGGGTTAAGGGTGATGGAAGTTGGCACCCAGACCACTCCAATGGGCAAAAGTGGTCTGGGTGCCTGGAGTGTCCCTTTAAGTTTGAAATTCACTTAGAATTTTCACTTTACTGAATAACCCTGTGTATGTTCAGTGATAGATATGGTTGTGCTGAGTCTCTGGCATGGGTCAAGGGAACTAAGTGGCTACTAGTCATGCTATCAGCATTGTGAACAAAATGAGCCTATTGTCCTGTGGGAAGGCCTGACCAAGAATATGGTAGTCTTGCTACTTTGAACTATAGTTCCCATGACACTGCATGATATTTGGATAAGCCTTTAAAATAATTTTTTCCAAGTATTAAAATATCAAATATAAATTAAATTTAACATGTAAAGAAAAAAAAAAGAAGAAAAAAAATATATATTTAATATGTAAAGTAATATATAACAATATAACAAAATGTATATTTTTTTCATAATATTAAATTATTTTAAAAGTTTATCCAAAAAATATCAAATCATGTAAAAAGTTTATCCAACAATATTAAATCGAGGACTTAAGTCAGGCACTACAAGCTTGGTGAGAAAGGTTCTCCACAACAGCTATAATACTAGAATTTATTCATCCTTGCTACAAATTTTAGATTTAAAAAAAAAAACATTTGACAACATGTCCTTTTAAAAAGCATGAACCTACTGTTATTACTTAAAGGAACATTCCACTGCCCAAACAAAAAAAATATCAATTACAATGTAGAAGCTATACCCCTAATGAAAACATGCATTTCATTATGCATTAAAAAAAACACCTTGCAAAAGCTGCAGATCTCTTGTCTGAGCCCTTTCCAAGACCTTTCCTTGTAATGTAGCCCAGACTTTTGGCTGCCCTATCACAGACTTCCCAATGAGAAGTCTTTACAAGGTGCTCTAAGCGATTGCTGCCTCTTGAGTTTAGCTCCACTGAGCTTCACTACCGGGAAGTGACTAGATCAGTTGCAGCAAGGTTCATATATAAAAGTGCCAGTTTCTATTGAGGACACACTCTTCACATCCACATAGCGCAATAAGAAAAGTTTTAAAACTCAGTACATGTAATTATAATGCGTGCCCTTAAAGGGAGAAACCATTAACAATAAAAGCACTTAGCATGAGCATTCTATAACATTACCATCAACCATTCTGTTTGCATTTCCCATATTGCCTCGTTATAATAATTATAGTTGTCTTCTAGTGCTCAATTCACAGCTGTCATCCAAATGTTTAAGATCCATGCGTAACATCATCAGTAGTCTCCCAGTACTCTGAACCCAAATCAGCCAGCCAATGAAATGTTATATTATATAGGAATATGAGGGCACAGGAAGATGATGAACAGGAGAGATATATATATATATATATATATATATATATATATATATAAAAATCCAAACGTATGGCTACACTCACGGTTTAAAAGTCCAAAGTTTATTGAAAAAACGGTTTAAAACATCAAGTGATCAACGTTTGTCACATAAGACTTTCATCAGGATCCTGATGAAAGTCTTATGTGACTGAAACGTTAACATAAGACTTTCATCAGGATAAAGTTTAATGAAAAAACGGTTTAAAACATCAAGTGATCAACGTTTGTCACATAAGACTTTCATCAGGATCCTGATGAAAGTCTTATGTGACTGAAACGTTGATCACTTGATGTTTTAAACCGTTTTTTCATTAAACTTTGGACTTTTAAACCGTGAGTGTAGCCATACTTTTGGATTTTTTGGGATATTGAAGCTGTCTTTGGTTGGCACCAGACCATTAAGGGACATTCGAGCGTGAGTGCAGGAGCTACTTGTATTTTTTATATATATATATATAATACATACAATACACAAGATCCAGCGCACTCACCTATCTACTAAACAGCAACTTCAATGTTTTTTAAAACACCTAATCTAGGCAAAAATAATGGGGTTTCAGTTACTGTATATGATCATACATTGCATAAGCCTGCCACAATGTCAATGTACCCCATCTTTGGCAGGTTCTTCTCTAATTAGCTAATGTCTGCTCTTATGAGTTTAACCCACTTACTTGGGGGGGAAATTCAATCTGGGGGCTCTCTGCAGTACAAGGCTAAATAGGGCCCTGGGATGAGGCACCTGTGACAGGGAGGGGTGCAAAACCAAGGAGTGGTTTTATTTATTTATTTTTTACTTAGTATTCCTGAGTTACTAGTAAGCTACCAGTAAATCAACAAGAGACTGAGCAAACAGAGTGCAAGGCCTGTGGATGCTATTCTTCTGTTAAGTCATAATTAATTTAGGTTTTACAAGTTTATCTTCATCATACCCAATACCATCATTGCTCTGTAAAAGACAGGGAGGATGTAGAACAAAGTTCTTTTCTCCCAGTCCTGCATTACTTGTCATCTTCCCTCATCCCTTGCAGCTAGTCTTTCATCATTCTATTTTTATCATCACACAAACGTACTTAGCAATGAGACACCCAGGATACCTAGAAATAATGCCCAGTGGTTTAAATATTCATTCATTATAATTAATCAATTGTGATGGTTTGGCAAATTGGCATTTCTAATGTTTATGTAGGCAGATCGTGAATCTAACAGTTTTTCTGGTGTAGAGTGAAGGAAAAGGTGGGATTAGGTTTATATTGTACGATGACTGTGTTTGTGCTCATGATTTTATATCTTGCCTGTGATACTTCATTCTAACCTTTTGTCTAATCTACAGAACCCAGTCTCACCCTGCTTCAAGATGCCCAACATCAGATCCCCAACTATATGCAGAACCCCTACGATTTGCCAAGGAACAGCCACATACCCAGCCACTACGACCTTCTTCCTGTCAGGCTTAGTCCCTCACATGGGACTTTCTGGGAAAAGCAGATGGACAAGCAGTCATAGAGAAGCAAAGTGCTGTGATGGAGAACTCTTTCATTCTGCAATACAGCCGTTCTGTGGCGGTCCGGCACCACCAGATGCATGCATGATGTCATTAGGAGATTTCTTTTTATACCAATAGGATGTATTTACGTGTGACTGTCTATGTGTAAATATAACAGCTGCCACCCTCCCAGGTGGGAAACATGGCAAGCAGGTCCTGTGGAGCAATATCCTGGCAGTCTCACACTAAGTGGTACCAGAAAAGGTCAGTCAGTCACAGATACTGTATGTAAATATATGTAAATAGCGTAGCGTTCGATAAGTGGCTGTATAAAAGTTCCCCATTGGGCCCTAATCCAGTCTGTGTGCTGTGGAAGACACTGAATTTGTCAATAGGGCATCTGGGGCATTCTGCAATCTTTAATTAGATATTCCTGATGGCCTTTCAAAAATCTACACATATGCCATGTTCATCTAGAGGAACCCAAAGCCTAACAACAGAAAGACCTCATCCCAAGGCATGGCTGCTGGTGTGTCAAAGACCAGTTAAAGTGCCATGTTCCCAGGAAGCTGCTTGAAGGACTCTCAGGTGTATTTAATTGTTTTGTGCTCTAGTTATGATTTGATGACTATTCATAGGGAGACATCATAAAAATACCAAACAGTAGGAAAATATATGAGCACTTCAGGTAGAAATTGAGCATATTAGGGAAGGAAGGAAGGTTTTTTTCCCTAACCGCTTCTATGGCATAAAATTCCTACCAGCACACCTTGCACCCGTGTACCAATAGCCTTGTTTTCAAACAATTGTTAAGATTCCAAGTTGTTCTAGGTACAAGAATCCAGCCATCCAGGGATTTTAGATCTAAAAAGTAATAAGAGATTTAATATAGAGCATCGTTCTGTTTGCAGCTTGCCTAACCATAACCTACACCGAAATGTCTATGAAGGATGCTTTTTTTTCTAATAATTTCTAATATCAACTTATTTAACCAGGAAAGGTATATTTAGACGTTCACTTGTTTCTAAGTATTTCGTAGGGTTCCTGTGATTATCCTACTTAATGATACTCCCTTATTGACAGAGGGATGACAGGCTGAGGTGACTTTGCCAGGAATCAAACAGAGATACTGCACTTGGAATTGTACACACAGGGCTATCACTAGTATAACAAGATAAATGATACCAGTACCACCGTATGCAATGTACTACAAACAGTAAGTCTACAAATTAAAATGTAAAGTTTCTCTACTGCTGTGGATAAGCTATGCTGTGCAGATATGTGGTAGCGTTAACCATTTCAGAATTTTCAGTTTGGATAGGGAGAGTTCCTGAATCGAATTCCTGTTTACGTGCTACTCTAGCTGCTGTGAACATCCTATACTACCAGCCTGTTCTACCTGAGAAGATATCCAGAGGACATCTGTGTTCAAAGACTCCATTTTGATTTGTAGTTGGGGGTGTGGTTCTTCACTTCATAGCCCATCAGTTTTCTTCTGCATCAATACACAACACATGATTTAAATTTTCTAAAACTTGCAATGAGAAATCCACTTGACCCAGCATGGAAGTAATTGTAGTCACCAGAGATTGTGTAGCCCTGCTCACTGAACATCTTGAAACATAATCACACAGCACTGGGAGTGTACTGATCTGTGATTACGTGCATTTCCAGACTACCATTCCCATTATGCTATGCTTGTTAGGTCTTGTAGTTTGCTGATCGTTACGGTCTCCTGATGACGCCATTAGAGGGTGTGGAAGGGGCACACCTACCACACACTGTGTGTTTGTGTCACAGTCTTCATTCCCTTCTTAGTCATGCTGTGCATACCACATTGTTTCCTGCACCTCTTACGTTAGAAAACACATAGTTCAGCACAGTCCTGCTGCTACAGAAATATGTAGATACATTCCTTGATGGAACACAAGTAAAGGCAGAAGTGGAGTAACCTGTCTGAGGATCAGAGACACCATTATTCAATCTATGTCTTGTGTTAGCCTGCAAAAGGGATAGGGAGTGGAAATGATTCGGCAATGCATTGGCAGGCACTCATATACATCACTACAAAAGCACTCAGGGAATCTTGCTATGGGAAACGTAGGACAGGGAGCAAGGACATACTGCAGGAGGATGTTTTCATGTACTTCCCAACAGCATGATAAGTTATGTGTTCAAGAAAGCGTTGTAGATCTGTCGACTTATTACTACTGATACTACTATTACATAGACACTTTGCTACTGACTGATCACAATGCAAGTAGTTTTCCTAAGGTTGGCAAAGCCTTATGGGATATATAGAGCTGGTATGCTCTGTTGTTTAAAGGGTTGTGCCAAACACTATGACCACTTCACTGATTTGAATTGTTTACGGTGCAAGAACAGAGTTTAACCCCTCTTCTGCCAGAGATGTTACACCACATCCTGTCATGTCATTGGGGCATCATTTGCCAGCCCCTAACAAAAGTTTATTTGAATTCTGTGCTAATTTGGCATCTGAGGACAGCACCATACAGCCAATGGCGGCATGGCCCCAGGCTTTGTGCCTGGCGAGGGGAAGCAATCTCTGCCTAGGAGGATAGAGCCGCCAAGAACTTAGCCTTGTTGATTGGACAGAGGTTTTGCTTTTTTGCTTGGTGGACCAATATAGGAAGAGTTACTCTAACCAAAAACATCTTCTTAAAATAAGTTTGTTTAATGTAGCAATAACAAATACACAACTAAATATTATAGAACATGATGAAGATTAAATGGTTTAAACATTTTGGTAAAATGATGGCATATTAAATGAACATTACCAAACACCATAACCTCTATAGTTTGCTGTAGTGTTTATGGTTGCAGGAGTGTCCAGTCACCCTTACCATGTAATTTGTCAAACCATTTTAGAACCCTGGAACCCTCAGCTGCCACATCCAGTCTTTAATGGCTAAAAGCGCTCACCTGATGCTTTCTGCCAATCAGCGCAGTCTTGTTTAGCTGAATTAAGCTAACTGGATTATCCTGCAACCTGTGGTCTATGGCATCCAGGTTAATGGGTGGACTGTAGTGCTTTCTTCCCAACATATGAATCTGGGAAGTCAGGGTTTGTAGGTGGAATCCTGCATGGGTGCAGCCAGTGACGCAAGATGCGTCACTACCAATGCCCACGATAGGTGGAGCCACCCAGAAAAGGGGCTGTCTATCCTGGAAAGGGGGGCGGTCAACAAAATGCCAATGTGTTGAACCTCCAGGGCTGCCACTTCTTTACGTGCCAGCTATTGCACTGTTGAGAGATGCAGACAGAAACACTCTACATCAGGCCTCCCAGTTGGAATTGTCAGATATAAAGTATCCCTGATATGATTAGGCTGAATCTAGACAGACAACACCAGGGCTGGCAAAAATGTAGATCCTCAACGTTGGCAAAGCATCATTGGGAATTGTAGTCTACAACAACTGGAGATCAAGCAATGTACCCCATGCCAACAACACTCCATCCTTTCAACATTTGTTTTAGAATATCAGTAACTTTCCATATTGGGTAACTTAGTATTTTTTTTTTTTGTATTGTGTATAAGTACATATGGTAAACATTTAAAAAGATAGTAATGGTGAACAATTACATACACTGAAACTCCATAGTGAATTCTAAAACACTAGCTGTAATAGCATGTTATAACATGTAAACGCATATTATAATTAACATGCTGAGATAGATAGGAGTTAACACCCAGTCATAACTGGAGGCTGAGGTTGCCAAATCTTACTTATGTCCATCCTTGGCTTTCCTGCTCCAATCACATGATTCTTTGTAAACCAACGCACACCTAGCCTATGGTAGGAAAGATGCCCTTTAGAAAATCATTATTAGTTACCACAGCTATGGTTCATAGCCTGCTGCCAAAAATGGTTGTAAATGAAAAATTTATTATTTTGCTGCCTGCAGTAGATTTGTAACATCACTGTAAGGAAGACATTTGGAGTGTTGGGTAAATTGTTTGGCTCTTTCACTTCTCTGCCAGCTTTCACCCCTATGATACTCCTATACCTCCAAATGTACCCTGTTCATCTGTACATGTGCGTGTATGTGTGCAAGGACGACCCCCTGCTGAGACTGCAAGGAAAGCCCTTTGGCTAAAGTTGAACTATAACGCCTATTAATGATCGCCAAATCCTGTTGGTTTTTGGGGGTTTTTCTGTTGTGTTTTTTTCTTTCTAAAATGTTACATAGTTTGTGTAATGCAAATAGAGGAAAACAGCCACCATCCTGCCTGCGTAAGCAAACAGAATCAGAGAAACCTCAGCTAAAGTGGAAATTCAAACACCCTTCTTAATTGTTTTGAAATAAATCTTGAATAACACTAATGGACAGCAGGCCTTCAGCTGTTGTTAGACTGCATTCCCCATAATCCCCATTCAGCATGAATAGCCATCTACTCCCATGATACACAGCCTACCATCAGACTTCCACAAAGGCCCAAATCATTAACGCCAGCCTGTATATAGCACAGTCCTGTTAACACCATCTACAGATTTTGTCTTCTGAGCGTCAAAGCTCTCCTGACAGGGTTAAAACTACAAATGTGTTCTGTTTGAGTCAGTGATTCCTTACCCCACTCTGCAATACTTTTTTTGTTCAGTTTCGGTTTGTTTTTGTTTCTTTTTTTAAACAGAGAGTTGAAATGTCTTTGTTGATTATACCAAGAACTGCTACCATGTACAAAATAAATTGACTTTCACTCAACGTGCGTTTTCTTTTGTTCTGTGGATGTAGCAATTTGCTTGGGCTTGGCAGTAGATTTTTTTTCATGTCTCGGTGCTGTCTGGAAAGCAATGGACAGATAATTCTGTTAAAGTATCAGTTTGGGTCAATTTTCAAGAAATGGACAGAAATGTAGGCAAAGCTCATTATTGGTCCAGCGTTACACGTACCTAACTTATCAATAAAATCTGATTAATTCAACATTACAAATGTAAATAGCAAATTGCAATGAGTGAGCAGACTGAAACCCTGAGCAGTGGCACTGTAGAAATGACAGTCATCAGGCTGGCTCTTAATAGCACAAGCAATGCAATGCTGTGCTTCTTTAACAGCTAGCCCTTTGTGATAAATCAAGGTCTGTCTTTCCGATCTATTTTCCCTGGGTAAGACAAGAGCAGCATACTGTTTGACAGCAAATTTCAATTTAGTTTTAGTCATAGTCTTTTGAGTAATAAGCCATTTTAGTTTTAGTCATATTTATTGTTTTAGTCGACTAAATCCCCAGTAGATTTAAGTCAACACAACAAAAATCGAATGGATTTAGTTAAAGCCTCTATCTGTCTCCTTTGCCCCTCTGTGTCCCCCCCAGCCGCTCTGGGTGTCTCTCTCATAAAGTCCCTGTCTGTCTCTTTTGCACCTTCCCCTTCTTTGCTTGCCCTCCTAGCCCTTATGTGTGTCTCTTTTTCTCTACATTTGTGTCTCTTCCCCCTAACCCCTCTATGTTGATTTGTGCCCCTCCAGGTATTTCATCTCCCCCATGTGTTTCTTTCCCCAAGCCCCTCATGTGTCTCAATTCCCCCATCCAGTTCCTCCACGTGTATCATTTCCCTGCAAGCTCCTACATGTGCTCATTTCCCCCTCAGTCACTACATGCGTCTCATTCCCCCAGCCCCAACATGTGTCTCAATTCCTCTCCTTCCTCCCCCATGTATCTTACCCACCAGTGTTAATTTTGGTGGCAAATTTCAATTTAGTTTTAGTCGTAGTTTAGTCATCTTCTTTTCATTTTTGTCTACTAAATCTGACAAAAAATGTTAGTTGGTGAAATTATCACTGATGGCTGTCACTATTTCCTCTCAGATCCTTGACATCTCGTATTATGTTCTTTAACTGCACTCCCTGTCCCCCATTTCCAAAATCATTTCCTGCCAGTGTTGCCTCAGTAATCCCTATTTCCCTGTCAGGACTGTAGCCACTACTATTCAATAAATTATTTACATTTGAAATTCACCTTGTATTCTCACTGTATGAAATAACCCTGCAAATGTTAAAATAAAACACCTGATGATGACATTACCTGCAGTTAACCTATCACCCCTTAAAACACACTGGGGAGGTAGAACCTCATTAAGTAAAAAAAAAAAAAAATCAAAAAACATGAAAGTGGAAAACCAGTAAGAACATTCTTTCTGCTTATATAATTGTCTGTATTTACTTTATGGAAGCATTATATGTGACAGGCCACCTGGCCAGTTCAGACTTGTACACAGCTACCAACCACCACCTTCTCCAAATAGACTGTAATCACCAACTTAATTGCCCCTCCAGACTGTGCCTCCTAGCTCAGCACACCATCCAGTGGCCCCAGAAATGTCAGCACACCGTGAGGGACCAGCAGAGGCACAAAGTGCTTGACCAGGAGCAACCTACAAATCATCTGGAACTCCAGATGGGATTGCGGATTTGCCACATTCTGGTAAAACTTCTTTGAGGGGGCACAGGGTCCAAGAACTACCAAATAGAGCACTATTTGGAGAGGAGATAGGGCAGGTGGCAAGACATCGTACAATACCAAGGAGGCACAGTCTGGAGGGTCAATTAAGTTGGTGATTACAGTCTATTTTGGATCACCAGCAAAAAACAAATGTGAGGAAGGCTGAACTCTATGGACACTGTCTCTTTTCACCCTATATAACTATATAATGACTTGCAGGATCTCGATCTACAAACAGAAAGCACCATCATTGAAAGTGACTGGGTCTTATCACCCAGCTCCCTGGAACACTGTACCTTTGATCCAAGTGGTTTTTGGAAAGAATGGGCGCTCCCGGGAGAGCTATCAGGGAGGGCACAAGTTTAGGAATATGGGAATGGGAATCCCCATTTTTATTGTAGAATTGTTATTCTGTGCCGAGGTGTCTGCCTGCTAATTAAATCATCAGGTCGCAATTTTCATTGTTCTCCTGGGGAGTTCCTGTTGGGGACCCAGGTATAAAAGTGTTTCATTCACTCAATAAAATTAGTTCTATTTCACGTGGGTGCCCTACAAGTAGACCATCACATCATATATGAACGTTGACCTGTAAATGCTTGCACAAGTTTTGAAAATTTGAATTAGTTATATGTGTGCAGCCCCAGAACATAGTTATGTTTCTGCTCAGAATCTGAGTAAACAAATTCAAAAAACACACGTGTGTATAATCGAAGATGGCTCCCAAAGATAGACTGCTAATGGAATGCCTGAGACAAGCACAGATAGAGGATGCAGAAAAAAGAGGAGGTTCCATAGCAAGACAAACAAATTATACCTGTGGTTGGAAAATGCAGGACTAAAAGACAGCACTGGGGCACTAATCCTAGCAGCCCAGGAACAGGCACTGAGCACCAGATCAATAGAAGCAGTGGTCTACCACACCAGGCAAGACCCAAGGTGCAGTCTGTGCAAAGAAGACTGACACAATCCAGCACATAGTATCCGCGTGCAATGTGTTAGTAGGTACAGCATACACTGAGAGGCACAATCAAGTTCCTGGGATTGTGTACAAATATATCTGCACAGAATATGGGCTGGTCCTGCCTAAATCCAGATGGGAGATACCACAAACTGTAGTTAATAATGACATTGCTAAGATCCTGTGGGACTTTTAGATTTTAACAGACAAGCAAGAAGTGGCCAAACAACCTGACATGGTGGTGGTAGACAAGATAGACTGCAGTGATGGGGGATGTGACAATATCCAGTGACCATAGCATCAGGAAGAAGGAACATGAGATGGTGGATAAATACCAAGGACTTACACTGAACAAAATTATAAACGGAACACTTTTGTTTTTGCCCCCATTTTTCATGAGCTGAGTTCAAAGATATGAAACTTTTTCTATGTACACAAAAGGCCTATTTCTCTCAAATATTGTTCACAAATCTGTCTAAATCTGTGTTAGTGAGCACTTCTCCTTTGCCGAGATAATCCATCCACCTCACAGGTGTGGCATATGAAGATGCTGATTAGACAGCCTGATTATTTCACAGGTGTGCCTTAGGCTGGCCACAATAAAAGGCCACTCTAAAATGTGCAGTTTTACTGTATTGGGGGGGATCCAGAGGGGTCCGAAAACCAGTCAGTATCTGGTGTGACCACAATTTGCCTCACGCAGTGCAACACATCTCCTTCGCATTGAGTTCATCAGGTTGTTGATTGTGGCCTGTGGAATGTTGGCCCACTCCTCTTCAATGGCTGTGCAAAGTTGCTGGATATTGGCAGGATCTGGAACACACTGTTGTATACGCTGATCCAGAGCATCCTAAACATGCTCAATGGGTGACATGTCCGGTGAGTATGCTGGCCATGCAAGAACTGGGATGTTTTCATCTTCCAGGAATTGTGTACACATCCTTGCAACATGGGGCTGTACATTCTAATGCTGCAACATTAGGTGATGGTTGTGGATGAATGGCACAACAATGGGCCTCAGGATCTCATCATGGTATCTCTGTGCATTTAAAATGCCATCAATAAAATGCACCCGTGTTCGTTGTCCATAACATACGTCTGCCCATACCATAACCCCACCGCCACCATGGGCCACTCGTTCCACACCGTTGACATCAGCAAACTGCTCACCCACACAAGCTGTCTGCCATCTGCCCTGTACAGTGAAAACCGGGTTTCAACCGTTAAGAGAACACCTCTCCAAAGTGCCAGCTGCCATCGAATGTGAGCATTTGCCCTCTCAAGTCGGTTATGACATCAAACTACAGTCAGGTCGAGACCCCAATGAGGACGACGAGCATGCAGATGAGCTTCCCTGAGACGGTTTCTGACAGTTTGTGCAGACATTCTCTGGTTATGCAAACCAATTGTTGCAGCAGCTGTCCGGATGGCTGGTCTCAGACGATCTTGGAGGTGAAGATGCTGGTTCTGGAGGTCCTGGGCTGGTGTGGTTACACGTGGTCTATGGTTGTGAGGTCAGTTGGATGTACTGCCAAATTCTCTGAAATGCCTTTGGAGACTGCTTATGGTAGAGAAATGAACATTCAATTCACAGGCAACAGGTGGACATTCCTGCATTCAGCATGCCAATTGCATGCTCCCTCAAAACTTGCAACATCTGTGGCATTGTGCTGTGTGATAAAACTGCACATTTTAGAGTGGCCTTTTATTGTGGCCAGCCTAAGGCACACCTTTGCAATAATCATGCTGTCTAATCAGCATCTTGATATGCCACACCTGTGAGGTGGCTGGATTATCTCGGCAAAGGAGAAGTGCTCACTAACACAGATTTAGACAGATTTGTGAACAATATTTGAGAGAAATAGGCCTTTTGTGTTAGAAAAAGAGTTCAGCTCATGAAAAATGTGGGCAAAAACAAAAATGTTGCGTTTATAATTTTGTTCTGCCTAAGCCCTACAGTAAAGGAAAAGATTGTACAGCAAATGCTGATGCCAATCATTGATTATGGGGATGTAGTAGATGCGCCTGCATCGCAATCCCACATTAATAAACTCAACACATTGTATAACTCATTCTGCCGATTTGTGCTACAATGTAATTACAGGACCCATCATTGTGACATGCTAAAGGAACTAAACTGGCTATCGCTGGAATCCAGACGCACCCTTCATCTTTCCAGCCTTGTTTTTAAGAACTTTTCTGGGAAACTCCCACCCTACCTGAACAAAATGCCTTCCCCAGCTGTTCCCACTTTCTATAAGCTCCGATCCAGTACAAGCACTTTACTTAGTCTACCTCAATACAAAAAGAAAGCGGCCCGATCCTCCTTCTCCTATAGAGCACCGCAATTGTGGAACGACCTCCCGCACAATTTAAAATCTTCCCTAAGCCTAAAGTCATTTAAGAGATCCCTCTCTACATACCTCAAAACAGAATGCACGTGTCATGGTTGATTATATATTTCCTGCCTGTTCTATGTTAAATTTTGTATATATTGTGTATTAATATTGTTTTTGTATTTTGTTGTACCTAATGTAACAATGCAATGATTTGTGGACCCAGGACATACTTGAAAACGAGAGAAATCTCAATGTATCTTTCCTGGTAAAATATGTTATAAATAAAAAATGAGCTAAAAAGGATGTGGAAAATGAAAGCAGTAGCAGTTCCAGTTGTTATAGGAGCACTTGGAACTGTGACTTCCAGGTTGGGGGAATGGCTTCAGCAGATTACAGGTGGGACATCTGAGTAACCAAAAGAGTTCAGTTTTAGGAATAGCTAATACACAGCGCAAAAACCTCAAACTTCCACGCATCTGGTAAAAGACCTGAAAATTAAGAATACACTTAAAAATACCACCCAGCTGGATGAGAAAGTCCGGTTTTATTTTATAACGTTTTATTGGGGAACGTGCGTGATGATGTGAGGTGTATGTAAATCGAAACAAGTGACTATGTAATACTATGTGAATATAGGGGGTCCATGAAAACAGAAGGAGGATGATATAAGTATAAATAGAGACTAGATCTACAATGCTGAAAAGAAGAGACTAAGTAAAATGTATAAGGCCAGAAACGAGAAATGCCGATGTGTGGATAAGACATGACAAGTGGAATGTTTGAGATGTGAGCGGAATAAGTGCTTCATGGAAGTAAATAAGAGAATAGAGAGAGAGGGAATGGACATGAGGAAAGATGTGAGAATGAATATGTGAGGAAGAATGCAGGAAAAGAAAAAGACTATATGAAGTGACAGTGAAAAAAAACATGGACACCCTATATTCACATAGTATTATATAGTCAGCCTTATATAAACCGCAAATTTACATTTGTACACATCTTGATAAAGACCTACTGGGTCGAAACGTTGATCGTTCATTTCTTCACGAATATACTTTGAGAAAATCCATTGAGTGCTCTCTCTTACACTGCTCAAATAAATAAAGGGAACACAGAAATAACACATCCTAGATCTGAATGAATTAAATATTCTTCTGAAATACTTTGTTCTTTACATAGTTGAATGTTCTGACAACAAAATCACACAAAAATTTAAAAATGGAAGTCATATTTTGCAACCCATGGAGGTCTGGATTTGGAGTCACCCTCAAAAGTGGAAAACCACAGTACAGGCTGATCCAACTTTTATGTAATGTCCTTAAAACAAGTCGAAATGAGGCTCAGTAGTGTGTGTGGCCTCCACGTGCCCGTATGACCTCCCTACAATGCCTGTGCATGCTCCTGATGAGGTAGCGCATGGTCTCCTGAGGGATCTCCTCCCAGACCTGGACTAAAGCATCTGCCAACTCCTGGACAGTCTGTGGTGCAACGTGACGTTGGTGGATGGAGCGAGACATGATGTCCCAGATGTGCTCATTTGGATTCAGGTCTGGGGAATGGGCGGGCCAGTCCATAGCATCAATGCCTTCATCTTGCAGGAACTGCTGACACACTCCAGCCACATGAGGTCTAGCATTGTCTTGCATTAGGAGGAACCCAGGGCCAACCGCATATGGTCTCACAAGGGGTCTGAGGATCTCATCTCGTTACCTAATGGCAGTCAGGCTACCTCTGGCGCGCGCGCGCGTGCGTGCGTGCGCGTGCGTGTATATATATATATATATATATATATATATATACATATACATATACATACACATACACACACACACCCTGATCAGCCACAACATTAAAACTAAAATCATGTAGATGCCCTTCGTGCTGCCAAAACCGCTCTGATACATAACTGGCACCAAGACATTAGCAACAGATCCTTTAAGTCCTGTAAGTTGCAAGGTTGGGTCTCCATAGACTAGATTTGGTGTATTAGCTGGTGTATCAGATTCTCAAATCATATTGATATTTGAGGACTTTGGAGGTCCAGGCTACAATAGGGTGCAATATCCTGTTGAAAGAGACCATTGCCATCAGGGAACACCATTGCCACAAAAGGGGTGTGCATGGTCTGCAACAATCTCTAGGTAGGTGGTACGCGTCAAAATATTACCCACATGAATACTAGAACCCAAGGTTTCCCAGAAGAAGCATAACTCCCACAGTGCATTATGCTGCCATCCCTAGGTAAACAATGCACATGCACCCCACCATCTAGAAGAAAACCTGATCCATCAGACCAGGCAACCTTCTTCCATTGCTCCCTGGTACATGTCTGATGCCAAAAGGTGTTTGAGAAAGGCAGCCAGGAGGTGCCGAAATGTTGGATATTAGGGGCTCGTGTTTCTGCCATAGTAGGCTTTTGAAAATTGTGGTAATTATTGTTTACTTATTTGCCCAAGTGTTGTCACTTTATCTTTTGCTTTATGTTTGTTATACCTTTTCTTAGTTGAATTAAAGCATTTATATAACTCTTAGTATTGGTTCTAGTGTGCAATCTCTGTTATATTTAGTATTGTTTGGGCACCTAGTGATACTTTTTTCATTCATGTCTCTCCATACTGTTCTGTTGTTGCAGTCTTTTTTTTAATAGCCACTTAGTCACAAATATAAATTTATATATTTCATTCTTAGAGTATTTTGAAATAAATATTTATTATCAAAATACAGTTAGAATTAAGTTACATATAATTTAAAATTTTTATTATTTAAAAAAAAAATGTAATTACTATTTATTTTTTATAATACACACATATTATATATATATACATATACACACACACACACATGTAATTTTACTCTAAGTATTTTTATATTAATATATGTATGTATGTATTAATTTAAAAAAATACACAATGACATTTATTTTATTAACTTTTTTTTAAATCTTTTTTTCAACAGCAGGGGGACTGCCTGTCAGTTCCCCTGCAGGCAGCACTATGGACACCTATTACGGCAATGTGACCGCTCTTTCAGAGAGACCACATGGCCCGCGGGGCCTAATTTGCCAAGGGGGGACTGTCTGGGCTGTCAGACAGTCCCCCCAGAACAAGAGGAACACCTATCGCCGGCAGAGGAACGTCGGCAATCGGGTAAGTAATTAGGAATTGCCGCAGACGTATTGGACCGTTTTTGTCTGACGTGCCCAGTACGTCTGCAGTCGGGAAGGGGTTAAAACATTAGTAGGGACTAATTTAGCTTATGTAATTTTTGGACACTTCACTTTCTTTGACCAAAAGGAGGAGCTTAAGTCAGATCCATTTCCTGTGTCAAAGAAAGTACTCAGAGAATGTCAGGCATACGAAAAATACACAAGACATGGTGATCCCTACTTTGTCTTATGAAATAAAGAAAAGAACTACAGATTCTGAGAGGAATAATATAGGAAACAATAGGAGAAAGGTTAGTTCTGCGTGACAGTGACGCTATAAGATTGCTACAATTTTTTTTTTTTACTTTGCAAATATTTATAGCCAGTCTGGTGAATGCTGGATTAACTTTGGATATTCACAGTTACAAATAACAATAAGCCACACCCAACATCACGTCAATTTATACTTCTATTTACTATAAAGGCTTGTTATGCTGTTCACTATTTTCTTATTTTGTGAGTATAGTGAATGTGAGTTAGGGATTTAATGTAAAAATCAATTAATTCTAGAATTTAATCCACGTACAAATATTTGTGTAGCATTTCTTCACAGCACTCCTGAAGGAATTTAAAAGGCTACTAACAAAGAAATATACACCAAGTTAGGACAAGTTTAATTGAATGATTGGTTCAAGGGCTCCAGAAGCAATTAAACTCTTCTAAATGGTCAGGCAGACAATACTTAAAAACAAGCAAAGGGAGGTCAAAGATCATTCCTTGCTACATACCATTAGTAAAAGAATGTATTCCATAAGTGACTGACAACCCAAAAAAAAAAAAAAGCGATTTAAAAAAAAATATATTACATTTATATTTCCACACCGAATGAAACCAATTGTAACAAAAAGTTAATTTCAGGAGTCACTATTTTAGTTTCTCATGAAATGTCAGAGGGAACTTAACCAAGTCCCATTCAGGAAGGCAATACAACGGAATCTGCATATTTGTATAAAAATGTGTAACTTACATTCCAATCGAATCTCACAGACAAGAGTGACAACTAGTAAATACGAATAAATATAGATAAGTAACAGTGGAAAAGCATCATAGTAACCATAGTTTCATATAAGCTCTAGGTCTACCTGTGTCCATACCTGTATTATTACAACCTGTGGCCTGAAACATCTCACACCAAAACCCTCACAAGGTTTGATTTATGCAGCGACATAATTCAGTACAATTATTTACTGCACCTAAAGAGAATTCTTTTTTCCAAACTCTTTTATTACAAGGTTTACATATAGTACTTGATTTGAATCTGTATATCTGTCCTTTACATTTTTCTAGGACAGCTTAGCTGAAGATAACAGTGCTTTACTGCAAAAAACTGAATACACAAACTATCAGGAAGGATGCCTATAGCAGGCAACATGCTTTTATTTCATATATTATACAGACTTCTCTGAATGGATGGGGAGTGGGGAGAACCTGGAATCATTCTGTCTTTAAAGAAGAGAAATGTGAAGAGTAGGGAAGGGGAGGCTGAGAGAGAGAGAGAGAGAGAGAAGAATTTTATATATTTTTTCTTTAATACAGGAAGTTGCAAATCATAGGAATTTAAGACATGTAAAAATCCAGATGGAATAGTAAAATTAAAGTTCTTACACACGTACACTCAAAAAATATATATTAACAAAAAAAAAAACAAAAAAACAAGAATTCCAAAGAGTCCAGTGCAGGACATGGGGAATATACAGAGCCGGGCGGTTCTAGAGCTTGACCATGGTACAAAGCCTGGTATCTCTAGATCTGGTCACAGGTATACAAGCCTGGCACAGCACAGGCAGCAGCCATTATATGTTCTGACAGCATTGCATCTTTGGTTTATTTTCAGTGGTGGGTGGAACATGAATGGGGACAACGTTGTTGCTGGGAGACATGTCATTCTCGCGTCTGTCTGACATCTGCTTCTGAGACACAATGCGGTAAATCTCTGAAAAAAGTGAAAACAAAAGTGGATTTAAATCACTGGACTCCAACACAGATTAGGTTAAATTAATGACTAAGACAGCACCACTAGCTAAGCTTGAGAGATCTGTTTAATGTTATTTGCTCAGGATACAATTCTTCTGAGCAAAGTCTTTCAATGAATGGATGCCAGATGAGTATATAGAACTAGTGATGACAAATTTAATTGTAACCACAGGAGCGCCTAACATTCTGCTCTGTTCAGGGATCCTGAAGGTCAAATGAGAACAAATACTATTTATAAAAATTAAAAAAAAAATTAAAAGTAGCCAGTATCAAACTTTAACCCATGGCACGTGCAGAGTAATCTTATTACACCAGAGTACATTCCTAACTCTATATCTTGTGACCTTGTGATTATTATTCATTGAACGGACGCCAAAGTTAACAGTTTTCCAGGCACAGAGGTAATTGCAAATTTTGCCATCTGAAATGACTCCATTTCGGTGTGAAACAACCCAACGCATCTATTCTTAATAATATTTTAGATTTGCTTGTTTATTACTGTAATCACAACCTTGTGAAACCTTTAATAGATCAACTGGTCAAATCACTACCAGATGTGAAGAAGCTGTTAAACAGGTTCTTCATATTTAGCCTTTTTCTCTGCACCAAAGGCCACTATTAATAGGACATCAACATGGTCTGTGCACACATTCACTTTCACTTGTAGTCCTAGAAAGGCTTGCGAGAGCATCATGGGAGAGTGCAACATCTGTAATGCAAGACATGCCTACACCCGTACTAAAGCATGGGGACGTAGTAAATTGGAGCATAGAACGCTGGTCTCTTAGTGATCTTACCTGTAAGGATTGTCTGGAATGCAGCTTCCACATTTGTGGAGTCCAATGCGGATGTCTCAATGAACGACAATCCATTCTTTTCTGCATATTAAAAAAACAAAAACAAATGGTGGTTAAAAAACTAAAATAAAAAAATAAGGCGCTGTATTTCATTATTGCATGAAAAACTCCCAAAGAGTAGGGCAGCTCTATCTATAGATTATAAAATTTAGATTTTCCTCAATATAGTAGATGCAGTTTGGTGTCTCTTCAATAATGTAAAGAATATTGTAGTATGTGTAATATAGATAGATATAAATAAAAGCATGTATCATAGGTATTAAGTCTTTATTTAGGTGTAAGCTTTTCTAGAAAATTATCTCAGTTCAGTAAGGCGAGCAGTATATGACCTATAGCCAACTTCCACATATTTCACACACACAAATAACCCAAATGCAGCACTTGTTGCCTGTAAATGAGTGGGATATTTGATTTTCATGTAGGATCTTTAAAGGCTAGTTTGTTATTAGAGAGTTTTTCTCACATTGGTCTGCATGAGATTAACTTTACATCAGGGATTAAAACATGTGATTCAGTCTCAAAAATGGGGAAGGGTTGATTTAAATCCTCCTTAAGTGTTTCTTTAAAAATGATGATTACCATAAAGGATACAAAGTTGTGTTAATATTTAATGTCAACAATTGAAAACGTTCACTTGAAGAGTTTACGTAGGGGGCCCGGATTTTATATACAACCATCTAGAAAATCACTAAGAAAGATGATAAAATGTAATAAAAATATCCAATTGGCTTTTTCAAAGAAAAGTCAAACCTTAAAAGGAAATTGAAAATCCCACTGAGCAATACATACTTTGAATTCTTAAACACTATAGTATTGTTGAAATGTTTGCGCCCAAGCTGCTTTAGCAGGAAAAGTGTATTAACCCCATACCACTATAGGTTATACAAACCTGCAAATGCTCGTGCTTCATCAGTAGGCACAGCTCTCAGGTGGCGCAAATCACTCTTATTGCCGACCAGCATGATGACGATGTTGTTGTCTGCATGGTCCCGGAGCTCCTTTAACCACCTTTCTACATTCTCATAAGTTAGATGCTTGGCAATATCATAGACCAGCAGCGCACCCACAGCTCCTCGGTAATACCTGTGGGACAGCAACCAGTGTCAGTAAAACATAAACATGGAGGTAAGGTGCTCAGTTAGCTACACAAGAGAGAGTATGAGGTAATGGGAAATACCAATATTTCTTATTAACACATTCCATTCATTTTAAAATAGTTACAGGAAACGACCTATTCTGCTGGTATTACTGAAATAAATGACAGGTAGTGTGTGTCTCCTTCACAAAACAAAGTAATTTCAAAAAGGGGCAAAATATTGCCACATGCTCTGCAGCATAATGGCGTATTACATAGAACTACTCAGACCCCACTATTCTATGATCGCCTCATCGCCTTATTATGGGAAGACAATTGTAACAGAAAGGCCCAATAAAGGCCTACGGGTTCACAAAATAACTTTTTCTTAGGACAAAGCAACTCACAATGATACCTCCCACTCCATCCATTCAGAGGAGAAAACAAGCCAAAAAATAATAATTAAATGTAAACTTGTTTGGAATTCATAGCACCCTATTGAAGGTAGGTCCCAGTGATTTACCCCAAATCAAGCAATGCCTCATCTTTGTGCTGCAAAAGCATTAACAAACAAATGTCTAACATTCCTAAATCCATCCACGTACCAGCATTGAAGGTAAGAGAGCTTATGTTAAAATTAGACAAGAGGTGCTCATCCTCTATCATGGCAGCATCTCACAACCACCAAGGAAACTTTATTTTTGTAAAATTTTTATTGAAGCACAATGGAAATTTTAATGTTTAAACACTTGTGACAGGTTGTCATATGCAGATAGAAGTAAAGTAATAAAGGCATGATGTAAAATATAGCATATCACGAAGGAGATTGGAATTTCTCTTTTTTTAAATTAAAAAATAACAAGAAAAGACACTGTGCTAGACAGAATAACAGGTAAAAATAACTAAGCTGAGCTAAAGCAATGGAGGACTGGTTAGCTACAAGAGGTACCACCCCAGGTAGCCCCCGAGGCATCATACAGACGTTTAGTAAGCATATAGGACATAGGCAGCATCAGCAAATTAAGCCAAGCACCCTACATGTGGATCAGCCGATGCCCATCGTAAGCAGAACACAGTACCCCAAGCTGGTACTGATCTTCAGACTCAGTGTCATAAAATCAAACAGTCAGTTTCCCCATCTCCACTCATCACATGTTGATAGTGCTGCATATGACACAAACACTCTGCCTCAGAGTTGGCTTGCATGACTCCTTCAATGCCCGTCGCATGAAATCTGCCACCTAAGGCATGTTGCTGGAGTTCCAGGAGCTGCTGGTCGGCCATTGCATAGTGGGGATGGATTGAGTGGCGTGAGAGCGACTCGTAGAGCAGGTGCGTATTGTTTATCCCTCAGTTTCTGCCAAAAGGCAGTGAATAGATCAGCCAAGCGGTTTAGAATGGAGATCTTCTCGCCATGGTAAGCAGGGGCACATGTGATGTCCACCATCGTGGACATTTCACTGCGGGCGGTACCGATGTGTGTTGATCACCCTCACCAGTCAAAAGAGAAACTGCTATGTTTACCTATGGGTTAATCCAGCCTCTAGTGGCTGTCTCATTGACACCCGCTAGAGGCGCTTCTCACTGTGATTTTCAAAAAATGCAAGGTTAAAATGTAATGTGTATGTAAAAACAGAGAAGAAAAACAAAATCCTTTTTTTTGTACAAACTGATGAAAAATTGCAAAACATTAAGGCACAATATACAACATATGACATACCCTGGAGTGTCTACTTCTACAAATGGTAGGCCTTCGTGTGGTAATTTGGAATAAAAATAAAAAATAAAAAAAAACACTGGTAAAATGGCCCATAAGCCCATCAAATCAGTCTCTCAAATTTTAACTGTAAAAACAAACGGTCAGGACTCATTCATTGCACAGGATGGAAGCAAAGGCTTACTTTGTGGATATTGTGAACAGAAGTAGCTGAACACAGTTTTTTTGCACAGTAGTAGTACACGTCAGGTTTAAAAATGCTTGAATTCAGGTGTTTCAAGCAGACCCATTGACACAGGTGTATAAAATCAAGCAACTGGCCATACAGTCTGAATCTACATACATTTGTGAAAACATTGAGCTCAGTAAATTCAAGTGTGGTACTGCGATAGGATGCCACCTTTACAATAAGTCAGTTCGTGAAAGGTCATCCCTTCTAGATATTCTACCATCAACTGTAAGTGGGATTATTGTTAAGTGGAAGGAACAGCAGCAACTCTGACACAAAGTGGAATACCACATAAACACACAAAGCAGTGTCATGGAGTGCTGAGTGCCTATTATTTCCATAGTTGAATAGTTCCAAACTTCTAATGGCATTAATATCAGTATAAACACTGTGTGGCAGGAGCTTCATGGAATGGATTTCTATGGCCGAGCAGCTGCATGCAAGCCTCACACTGGACTGTGGAAACATGTTCTGTGGAGGGAAGAATCACGCTTCTCTGTTTGGCAGACTGATTGGTTAGCCAGGGTTTGGCAGATGCCAGGAGCATGTTACCTGTCTGACTGCATTGTGCCAACTGTAAAATTTGATGGAGGATGAATAATGGTATGAGCTGTTTTAGGGCTTGGGCTAAGCCCTTTACTTCCAGTGAGGGAACATCTTAATGCTTCAGCATACCAAGACATTTTGGGCGGCCCTTTTCTATTCTAGCGTGACTGTGCCCCAATGCACAAACCAAGGTCCATAAATACATGGTTGGATGAGTTTGGTGTGGAAGAACTTGACTGGCCTGCACAGAGCCCTGACCTTAACTCCATCAAACACCTTTAGGATGAACTGGAATGAAGATTGCGTGCCAGGCCTTCTCATCCAATATAAATGCATGAACTCGTAAATGCTTTTGTGGATGAATGGGCAAAATTTCCCACAGAAACAGTCCAAAATCTTGATGAAAGTCTTCCCAGAGGAATAGAAGCTGTTATAGCAACAAAAGGGGGGACCCAACTACATGCTAACGTCTGTCTTGTGGGGATATTTTTTCCTTTTTGGTGTAATGGCCCAGTCTCCCAAAACCTTTGTCCATATAGTGTATGTCGTGTGCTTGCATTTTGTGCATCTCATTTCTTAATTTGAAGGATGGAGTCCTAATGTTGTTAGGTATGCAAGTCATTTCTTTGTTGAAAAATTTAGCTTAGTTCTCAGTAACAACAAATATGGGTGTATGCAATATAAACCAAGGTTATAACATGCAGAGCAAATAATATAAAATAAACAAAGTTAAGAAAAAAAACCTTAATCCCATTGTTTTAAGTTGTTCTCCAAACATGAGTGATTAACCTATTAAAGAGACAGCTTAATAGATGGTGTACTGGAGCTCCATGTCCATGGAATACAAACACTGATTAAAATAAATGCTTCAAATGATTTTATTCTATATTGTTGTGCAGAGGGAATTAGCAGCACTGCATACAGCAGGAGGGGTGTCGGAGAACAGTTGTGGACTAGTTGACTATAAATTAGTTACGTTGAAATAAATTTTCATACTATGTTAATGCTCTTGCTGCTTGTGTCTCTCCAACAGTGTGGTATGTCCCCTTTCTCCTACACTCAGTACATCCATGTTTCTGCCCGCTTGTAAGAAGGATAAGAGAAAAAGAGGAAAAGAGAGGGGTGGAGGGCGGAGGAGGCAAAATTCAGAGCTTGTGATAAGTGAGAGAGGGGATGAGAGCTGCAGGACTTCTCATGTATACAGATAGACTGGGCTAAGAAAGCGAGAGATTAGCACAGCATATGTTTATTTTTATGAATGCATCCAATGAGGTTCTAATCGGGCCACACCCACCAGATACAAGACATTTGGGAGGTATGACAGACAGAGGTTGTCTATAGGATTCTGTAGTTGGGTCCATTAAAATTGTTGGCACCAGGCCCAACAGGCTCTTAATCCATCCTTGCAAATAGTATATAACAAAATCACTTCTGATATAACTTTAAAACTAATCTTAGTTAAACATTAGATGATAATGTACAGGATGTGTTTAGGAAGGCTGTTTAAGTCACATGCAGGGAGGTGTGCCTAGAACTGCATAAATAAAGTGATTTAACTCCATGGCAGAGAACTGAGCAGAGAGACTATAAGGGCATGATCTATACATCAAAACTGTTTCATTAAGCTAAAGTTGTTTTGGTGAATATACTGTCAATTTAAAAAGTATTATAAATATAAAATCTTCATCTGGTTGCAAATATTATAACAACTAGGAAAAATAAGTCTTTGAGTTTAAAAATCTTTAAATCAAACGCACCCTTTATTTTTATTTTTTTAAAAACCTTCTATATTATTCCAAGCCTTAAAAAAAATAAAAACGATTAGTTACCGGTGCCCTGTTCTTTTATGGACACTTGATACTCACGCTGAGGTTATGGCTCTGTATCTCTCCTGACCAGCAGTGTCCCAGATCTGAGCCTTGACTGTTTTTCCATCCACCTGGATGCTTCTCGTGGCAAACTCTACACCAATTGTACTTTTACTCTCTAGGTTAAACTCGTTTCGAGTGAATCGAGATAGGAGGTTACTTTTCCCCACACCAGAATCTCCAATCAGCACCACTGCAGGAAACAGGAACATAGCATGAGCCAGAAATATAGACGTAATGGAAATCAATTAGAGGAGAGATTGCATGTATACAGATATCTATACAATCCACACAGAGCTAATATTCTATATGCATACACTGCACTAAAACTTATACAGCTAATGAAAAAAATTAAATCGTAAATATTAATACTAATTAAAATGCATTCAATTAATTATACATGCATAAGTATCTCTCTTTGGGGAGATACCACATTTAAACGTTATTAAACTCATAATACATGTTAGAAAGACTGTGTCCACTTTGTTGAGATACGAATATAGATGAACCAATTTTGAAATAAACTGTCATAATTAGCACCACATGTGTCTTCATCTTGAGGACTTGATGAGGTATGATTCCTGTTACCCCTTCTGTATTGCAATATGGTCAATCCAAAATGTTAATGGTTATTCAGCGGTGCAAAAAGGGCCGCAGTGTTTGCACAGCCAAATCCATCCATCATTGTATGATAACCCGTGCTCACACCATCCATAACATGTGGTACTTGCCTCTTCCCATCACAGAAGGCCATCGTCTACAACCAGCCACCAGTTAATGAGATGCCAAGTTGCACGACCTCACATCACCACTCCCTGCGGTGGGCACCCTCATGCAGAGCGCAGCTCAAGGCAGGAAAGCAACTGTGGAGGTGGCAATATAAAAGTGGGTTGTCCCAGCTCCTACACTGGCTCCCAGCTACACACCAGCTCATCTCCCCCACTTCTGCAAGCCAGCTCATCTACCCACCACCCCCCTCTGGCTAATAAACTGGCTCCCACTCCTGCACGCCGGCTGATCTAGTCCTCCCCACTCCTGCACGCCAACTCATCTAGTCCTCCCCACTCCTGCACGCCAACTCATCTAGTCCTCCCCACTCCTGCACGCCAACTCATCTAGTCCTCCCCACTCCTGCACGCCAACTCATCTAGTCCTCCCCACTCCTGCACGCCAACTCATCTAGTCCTCCCCACTCCTGCACGCCAACTCATCTAGTCCTCCCCACTCCTGCACGCCAACTCATCTTTTAGTTAACTGAAATAGCTGATAAAAACATTCTAAAGAACTAATATGATTACTAATAAAGGATTTAGATATTTTATGAGTATGCACATGACACACAACTTTAACAGATAGACCGATCTTCATTTTTGTCACTAGAAGAGAGAGATCTTTTCCATATAAATGTGGCACAGTGCTGTAGATATTCTAGCGCATCGAGACTCAAGAGTATCACCTCAGAGCCAGCAAATTTTAGACAATGAGTTCATGTGGAGAACCTCCTGTTCCAGCTCATCCCAAAGGTGTTCTTTAAATAGAGGTTTGGTGCTGTATTGAATTGTTCAGGCAGCCGAACCAGATCTCCCACCCCCACCTTAGGCATGTCAAATACTAATACACCTGCCTACAGGAATAAACAGACAATTTCTAGATGGATTCATGGAACAGACTGCAGTCGGACTATTTGATTGATACTGTCCACGTGTGGCAAAGTCTCCTATGCAGCTCCGGATCGCTCTGCCTCTTCTAATCTAATAAATTCATGTTATTGTAACTTCTTTATTATCTGCTACATTATGGGATATTTTATGTAGTTATTTTTATATAGATATTTGTATCCAATATACTTTTTATGAACTCTGCAATAGGACTATAACCACTGTGATCGCTCACATTTATATTGTCACTTTAATGCTGTTTTAGTTAGCCATTAATTCATTTATTTTTCTGTACTTTTCCATCTCTCATATTAGTGTTATTTTTATTCTATCGAGTTTATATTTTTTGTTTTGATCTATATTAACCCCTCTCATCCATCCTGGAATTTTTATATTTATCTGTTTTTAGGCTCTGAATGGGGGTATTTGTTTTCCAGTTGGTTTGTTTATGAAAAAATACCTTGTTTTCACCCTTCCTACGGAAAGGTTCTTGATAGTTGAATATAGCATATTATATATTCCCAATTTCCCACTATCTTTTTTCAGTTAGATTTATAGAAAAGTTTATTAAATGTGGTTCTTTACAGGTAAAACCCTTCAAGAGACACATGATTAACCAACAGAGGGAAGCCAAAGGTTAGTGGAATGAGGTATAGTAATGAAGAGGTAGTCTGGTTGGTGGCTGTCCAATCTTCCAGGCATAAGGTGACAATTTTAAATTTTTATTTTTTTAAAGCCTGAATAAAGTGCCAAAAATATGAGCACTTACTTGCCATTGTATCCCCCTTCCAATAATTATTATTACAGCACCAACTTATTCCTCAGTGCTTTACAATACTATCAATGGGGAAATCTAACAATAAATGAGACGAGTTTGACCTTGCTCAAACATGCTTACAAACTTCATCATGGGTTCCCAACCCAGTTCTCAAGTACCTTAACAGTCCAGGATTCAGGGATTACCCAGTTGTGTCTAAGGTTTTTTTAGAAAATAAATATCTTTAGACACAACAGGGTAATCTCTAAATCCTGAAATGGTAGGGGGTACTTAAGGACCCCTAATCTAGAGGATGACTGTTACCCACAGTTAATCACTCCTGGGTAAAGGAAGTGCAGGGAAAATTGGCAATACAACCCAAAATTCAATTTTTTCCCCCTTTTATAGAAACATAGAATGTGACGGCAGATAAGAACCAGTCGGCCCATCTAGTCTGCCCAATTTTCTAAATACTTTCATTAGTCCCTAGCCTTATCTTATAGTTAGGATAGCCTTATGCCTATCCCACAGGGAAGAATAAAGAGATGGGTAAGGCCCCTTACCAGTTCAGCAGGACTACTTGGGAACACTCATTCTGTAAGCTCTACTGAGAGGGTGTTTATATGCAAATAAACACAAGGTAGAAATGGAACAAACCTTTGTCCTCAATTCTAAAACCACAGGTTTTGTTTCAATAAACACTGAACCGTATTGAAAAAAAGAAAAATAAAAAATTTTAAAAAGTCAAATGTCAAAAATTAACAAAATAAAATTAATACAAAATTATAGCAGAGTTTTATAAATCAACCATTTTATACTAAAGTTTGCCATTTGGTTTTCAATTCACAATTCAATTTTTTAGTAAATAAACAGAACAACAAAGAACTGTCACAATTTTTATGCTATACACCCAAGTGTACCTGTTAGTCTGGTCTATGACACAAGCCGGTTCCTATAATTTATAAAAGACACCTAATGATAGTCATTTTAAAAAATTATTTTTTATTTTATTTATTTTTTTTGCATAGTCAAATTTTTTCCATAAGGGAAGGTGTACCAGTGGATTAATTGTGTAGGGTCACAAGACAACTATTTAACCCTTTATGCTGCTACATAACAGCATTACGCCACTGAGAAGGGAGAATGGAATTACACAGTCTAAGAAACATTTCCTGCTGCAATTCTTAATTCAGCAATGTCCTATTGTGAAAGCAAGCCGACAATATAAACAGGCACATCCTCGCTTTCATTTTTCTTTACTTTAATGCCCTGGGAGCCAATATAAAGCAGATTTGCACAATGTGAACAAAACGTTATTCTCATGCATCAGGAAACTAGTTTCTTTCTGCATGCATGTATCCTGGCACCTGGAACCATGCAAGTGGTAATTTGAGAAAATCTGCAGCTCAGCATATTATTTGCATTTTAGGACAGATTTGGCATGGTTTTATCATTCCAAAGTAACCACCCCCAGAAAGTAAACTGAAAAACTTCACAGCACATACACACACAGCAGGAGCTAGGAGACCAATCTGGCCTACAGCAGTGATCCCCAATCATTTAACTGGAAATCGATTAAAGGTTGTAAACCAAAGCTGCTCTGGGATTAACTGTGTAAGGGGCAATAACTGCAGAGAGGGAAAGGAAATACAAAAGAAAAACAAATAAACAATACAAGATAAGGTTGAATAGGTAGGCATTAGAAAGTCAGACAGGTTGAGACAAGCAGATGAAGTAATTCTAGAGAGTTGTTATCTGAGCTGATCACTGTGGCCCTAAGGAGTTACATATTATGTTGCCCACTGTTCTGTTTTACTAGGCAAGGTTCAGTCTGTGACCAGTGAGTGTGGCATTTGATAAGCTTGATGCTCAGAAATAAACTAGAGATTTGCAAAGCACACATAATGCACCCATTGTACAGCGCTACGGGATTTGCTGGCGCTATATAAATAACATAATGTAGAATTTCTTCAAAAATATGCAGATTACATTCCAAAATCCAGATCTTAAAAGAGACACTAAGCACCAAAGCCACTACAGCTTAATATGTCTCTGCAGTATGACAAATGTAAGCATTGCCTTTTTAGAGAAAAATCAATGTTTACATTTATCAGTCAGTAGGCCTCTAGCAGCAGTCAGCCACTTGAGGCACTTTCTCCTAGAAAGCCTTTTTTAAATGCGTTAACGTTTGACATCGTGAGGACACTGAAAATAATTAAATCTACACAAAAAGAAGCTTTATAATGCTTCTCTATGAGAATCCAATTTGAGCAACACCGTGCTAGGGGCACATGCATAGTAGGGCCTTTAATGCTTCCCTGTGAAAAATATTGGATGATCTTGCGCAGCAGGAAGACTAGGACGCTGCTGGATGATAGCAGTGTTTACCTTTATTATTTTAATTTAAAAAGTTCAATGCCACCAGGAACACACTAACAGTAAAAATACATATAATGTTAAGAGTATTCCTTTAATCCCTTAAGGACCAAACTTCTGGAATAAAAGGGAATCATGACATGCCACATGTCATGTGTCGTTAAAGCTTTAATGAACCAATCAGCTGGGTAAGAAGTTTTAAGAACAACGTATGCAGTCAGGTGAAGATTGCGCCGTCTGTCCTCAAGGACAAACTGCAGTAGTAAACAGCTCTCAACTATATTTCAAGGGCTGCCAGACTGATGGAGCCCAATACAACAAATACTTCCTTTATACCTGTGCTGGCAGCCACAGCTGAGTGCAAAAGAATGTGATGCAATGCTCTCTATTCATGGGACTCTGCTGAGCTCAGAGGGTGTGTCGTGTGATTCACCTGAGTCACAAAGGAATGACACCCACAGCTTGAAAGGTGCAGGGCGGGACAGAGTACAGTCAAAAACTTACTAAGGCCAACAAAAGGAAGAAATCTTCCATAAAGTGAGGAAATCCTGTGTACAGGAAGCACAAATTATCTTTAATAGCCACTAAAACTTGAAATGTTTGTGTCACCCTCAAAAGCATGATTAACAAGATCTATTTCAGGTAAAGAGAAACCAAAGGTTTATTCCCCAAAACAGGGACTGCCCTAGCTGCTGACCTACAATGCTATGATGTCTTGCTAGCATAAAAGCATGAAAAATGGAACAGAAAATCTACTTTCCAAAATTACAACCAACACTTCAAGTTGATAAGATAGGTTATGTGGAAGATCTGTTTGCAATTAGGCCATATACAGATTAAAATTGGTAAATTCCATGTTTTAATTCAATACAATTGGATGTTATGTGAATAAACCCCCCCACCCCCAATTAATACATTTGCATTAATGTAAATCTCCTAACTCTGCATCCACCTCCTCCTAACAATGCAGAAGGCTAACGTGCATGGCACACGTACGTTTATACTGAGATAAAGGGCAACAAGAAACAACATTTTACAGTAAAAGTATATATTTACAAGCAACTTGGCGAGCACAGCGTACGGACGAAAACGATCATCATTTGCATTATAGATCGAAAGTAATCAAGAAGCTTAATCAGTTGAGCAGTTCCAAAGCCCAACTACTATAGAAATCCCTACCCTTCCTCAGAACATAAACGTGAAAGTGCGGATGTACAAATGATTATAAAGAATAGTCTACATTGGTTCTTTTTTTTTTTAACATTTATATGAATTCCCCAAAATTACCAGTGTACATCAATGAATCATTGCACATTCTAAAAGGAAAGTTGTAATAAAGAACTAAAAGAATTAATAAGCTGTACAACATATTTCTCCTTAACATTTCAGAAAAAAAAATGGCTTTCTCAATCTTGGATCAGTAGCACAACTAAAGAAAAAGAAGTGTGACTTTCAGACTTTTGCATTACTCTTGCCAAATAGCAAACGGTCATTGCTTATTAAACATGCTCTTTTAAATGTGGCCTTACAATTAACGTGTTTGCAATGGTCAGAGCAGAAATCATAAATGTAAGGCCCCAACTGCTTACAAAAAATAGTTGCAGCATCTAGGGTCTTTTCCAGTGAAACGGGCACCAATGTGACATTGGTAAGAGTCTTATTTATGAAATATTTTACCAGGAAGACATTAAGCATACATATTACAAGTGTAGCATAGGATTTCAAATTAATTTTACCAACTTTAATGCCAGGTACACAGTTTGGATCATTGTAAAAAGGACAAGAATCACTGGTTTGATATAGAGCATGAATAAAATGTAAAATATAAAGAAATGCTTAAAGCTAACTTGCATAGATTATTTTTCTTTAAATTAATACGTTTTAATATGAAACTGTGCTTAAGTGTTGATTAAGATCAGAGTTACATAGATAAACAGGGTTCAGTTTAGCTCATAGATTAAAATAGACAAACATTAATGTAGAGCAGAGTATTTTTTTTTCTAACAATTTACACACACCTGAAACAAAAATAAATAATGTTCTGTAAAAACTGGAACTGAAATATATACCATTATCAATACTTGGGCAGTTAAATTGTGAAACACTCAAGCCAAATATATTTAAACTAGAGAGTAAAAGGAGCTCTTGATTTGGGTCTGGGGCTCAGAATTTGGGAGTATTTTGTACAAACAAAGCCTGGAGGGGGAGGCTGGGAATCCTGTACAGCCTTTTCCTAACACACCCAACACCGCATTCCTAACTTCAAGAGGTCAAGTAATGGTAACCACTGGACCTGAACAAGACAGTTTGCAGGGTGAAAGTCTCACTTGCTTTTTTTTTTTTTTTTTTTTAAACAGGCTTTTAAGTTTAATCCATATTTTACTTAAATTAAGAAGTAAGGTTGCATTGGTTCCAGCAATGAAAGGGTTTACAGTTTCCAAAAGCCAGTGAGGCCTATAACACTTCCTTCTCATGTCAAATTGCCACATAGATCCTGGTTATCACAATTAGCACTTAGTCACACATTAAGCAACAACAAAACTGTTTCATGGATTGACTGGGCCAATGTGGGATTAAAACGAATTAAAATTTATGGAAATACTTGGGAATTCAAAGAGTTCAAATGAACTTTTAGGCAAACATCAGCCAAATTAGAAAAAAAAAAAAATAATAAGTCAGCTATATTGTCATAAAATTTTTATTAATTTTGAACAGCTGATAATTCACACTTTCTTTAAAATGTTGTAAGTCTAAAGCAAAATGAATGTGATATGAATTAAAATACAGAATGGAGGACACAAAAACCCTCTCAATAGTTCTCCTAAAAAGACACTAAAGGCCTTGGGGACATTAAAAGTAGGCTTTGAATGTATTTAATCATATATACACAGATAACATGACACAATGAGTTATGGCCTAATTTACCATACATAACTGTACCATTTCGAACTTCTACCAGAATGTTATCCTTAAACCATTCTGCACCCTCCATAATATCACTACACTTATTCTGAAATATTACTATACCATTCCCTGTCAACTTTTTACAAATCTTACTGAAACTACGTCACCACTTTTCTTATTTCCACCACCCCTGACTCACACTGGATATAGTTCTCCTTCTCTATTACTAGGAAACAGTAACCCCAACATTATTCTAGAACAGTTACCCCAAAATCATACTACAATGTATATTCATAATATTGCTTTATCAAGTAGATTCCTTACAAAATGATTCCAACATCCCGCAGTGTCTACCCCAATACCTATAGCCCTGTTACCCCTCACATGATTACCCCAACACTTATAACCTAGTTACCCCAATACCCTACAGTGCCTACACCAACACCTACAACCCCAGTTACCCCTAACATGAGTACCCCAACAGCCTACAGTGCCTACACCAATACCTATACCCCCAGTGGCCCCTTTCCAGAGTTACCCCATCCTCCTGGGGTCCCCCCTCCCCCCAGTCTGTCAGTACAGTACCTGTCCAGGACCGGCCCAGTATAATCACAGCCAGCACGGGGCCCGGTGCCGTTTCCAGAGTTACCCATACAGATATCACCCCCTGCTGTGAGCCGGCCTGTCAGTACACCCGGCCCTCCATCCATCCATCACTCTGCCCGCCATTACCTTTGAATAAATAGTCATACTCGTCCTCTCTGGAGCACATGCTGACAGCTTACACGGTGCTCGGGATCTCCAGGTATCGACAGCCACCCAAAAATCTCTTGGAAGCCCGGCTGTGCCCGAACCCCTCCCTGAAACAGGAACAGCGCTTCCGCCCAGCCCGACCCGGAAACACCGTCTGGCGTCACTTCCGGGTAACCAGGGCAACTCGGCGCCATCTTTGTACACCCACCATCCTGGACCGTAAAATAAACTCCCCGCGACCAAGCGGCGCACACATACAGTGCACTGCCTGCCTCGCCAGCCGAGAGCGGACTATAGGCGTGCTTGGCATTGTATGGGTTAATAATTGGGAAATAAGGGGTTAAAAAAAATAAAAACTGAGAGTAGAAAGATGGCGACTGACCGCATAGCTTTCAGATAGGATAATGGGCTGAACACTGCGGGAATGAATAGTTCGAAATCGGAATACTATATAATCAGCAAAAAAAATATGGTGGGAAGAAAAGATTTTTTAGCAAATATCAGATTCACACACAGCTTATGGTGATTATGGTAGTTTTGCCAGTGAGCCTCTATGTGGTTCCATGGTGTAATGGTTAGCACTCTGGACTCTGAATCCAGCGATCCGAGTTCAAATCTCGGTGGAACCTAACATTTTTTTTTTCCCCCTCCCCAAAATTATTTTTCATTATTATTTCTTATTATATATATATATTCAGTTAAAACCTAGGTCATACATGTATGTTATCAAGTTAGGGATTTCTTAATTAAATATTGCACTGCAGAAGTACAAAATATGAACTTTCTGGATTTCATCAAGTGATGTAACTGTGCACATAGGAAACAATATATATATATTGGCCAATGCTACTGCATAAGTGTAGTGGAAGTTTAAGTGCAGGAAGTTTAATTCACACAGTTAGCAATTGTTTCTAGTTATTTGACCAAATCTACCTTTTTTTTTTCCCCAATGCCAAGGCTCACTCAGTGTTGCCACTCTCTCCTCCTCCTGCAACATCATCCTGCAGGTGTTGCTTCATTGCCTTCTTGTCCAATCCAATACTTCTCATCAGGGTTTAAGTCCTGGGGAATAAAGTGTGGGAACTCACCCAAGATCCATTCCCCCCCCCAAAATAATATACACTCGTATGCATATATAAACCCGTGCACACACACACTGACAGGTGCACATGTACACACTCAGACACACACAGACACACATATACACTCACAGACACACACATACACTCATACACACACAGACACATACATACATTCACAGAAACACACAAATTATTCATATTATTTTAAAAAGTCCATCCAGCCTCGCTACCTGGAGAGCTGGCATGGACCTGTCCCTGAGGTTCAGTGAGGCAGGTGCCTGTCTCTCTGTCAGACGCAGCGAGGGAGCTGTGTTCTCTCTGGTCTTCTCCTTCTCGCCGCGAGGGCTGTCTACTGATCTACGTCACATTCCGGCTCCCGGCATCAGCAAATCTACTTTGGGTAGTACCCGGGGACATATCCATCACACCTAAAACTGGTCCCCTAATGGTTTGTAGGTGCTCAAGTTTTCCGGACGTATGGGACAAGCATTTCTCATATGTCCTTACTTGCCACAGTATAAGTAAAACCTGTCTTTTCTCCTAAACTGTCTTTCTGCCTCTGACAGTATCATAACCCCTAACTGCATAGGTTTAGTTTCAGACTGCACAGGAGGGCCAGAAACAACAGGACTAGAGAAGCGAGGCACCAATGACATATTCATATGTCTAGTTTTCTTTCAATCTCCCTGTTCCTAAGTCGATTATCTATATTCATCATGTCAGTGATGTATTCATTTAATCTCCCTGGTAGTTCTTTGGCTGCAATCTCATCAAGGATAGCTTCGAATAATCCCTCTGAGAATGCGGTTATTAATTCGTTATTGGTCCATTCTACCTCAGAAGCCAGGGTGCGGAATCCTATGGCATACTCTGCGACAGACCAGTTCCCTTGCTTGGTACGCATAAGGGCAGTGGACTCCCTTCCCAATGGTTCAAATGTTAATTTGGATTCCGCAAGGAATTCCTGGTAATTATGGTTAACAGTCTTATTACTCTCCCATAATAGATTGGCCCATGCTAAGATTTTACTTTGTAGTTGGTTCATTAAGTACTCAATTTTAGCTCTATCCGTGGGAAAAGACCCAGGTGAGGCTTCAAAATTGTACTCAATTTGATTAAGGAATCCCCGACATTCATGAATATTACCTTCAAAATGCGGGGGAGAAAATAGGGTGATAGTAGGTGCCCTATATATATGATAGGTGTAGGTACAGTCGGTGGGGCAGGGCCGGACTGGCCCACCGGGATACCGGGAAATTTGGCAGGTCCGGTGGCACACTCAGAGGGGGCCGGCCGCATTCCAGGCTGGAGCCGCCGGGCCGGGTGGCAGCTTCACCGGTCCGGCGGCACTCCTGTCACTGACGATGCTGATGGCTGAAGGAGGAGGAGCATGTCTACCATGCTCCCTCGCGGTTCCTGTGCTGGGGATTGTGGGGACCGCGAGGGAGCATGGTAGACATGCTCCTCCTCCTTCAGCCATCAGCATCGTCAGTGACAGGAGTGCCGCTGGACCGGCGAAGCTACCACCCGGCCCGGCGGCTCCAGCCTGGAACGCGGCCGGCCCCCCTGACTTCTCTAGGTAAAGGGGGGGAATATAACAGAGAGGGGAATAGAGAGATGGTGGAGGGAGGAGGGAGAGACAGAGAAAGGGGGGAGGAAGAGAAATGTGGAGGAGGGAGAGACAGGGAAAGGAAAAGAGATGTGGAGGAGGGAGAGACACAGGGAAAGGGGGGAGGAAGAGACACAGGGAAAGGGGGAGAAAGGCAGGGGGGAAGAGAGAGACTGGGAAGGAGAGGGGAGACATTGACACAGAGGAGCAGTGAGGGGGAGAAAGAAACATACAGAGTGACTGGGGGAGACAAAAAGGCACACATAGGGGTTGGAGATAAAGAGACACACATGGGGCAGTATATATCACTGGTGGATGGGGGGGCAACAGGGCAATTTCCCCTGCTGGCCGATCTCCCTCCCCGTTCCGCAGGCAGCCGGCAGGGGAGGAAGAGAGGACCCGGGGCAACGCTCCAGCTCTCATGAGGGTGAACTCTAGCCCTGGAGCTACGGGCCAGAGTTCACTCTCACCACTTCCTGGTGGTCGCAGTAGTGAGAGTGAACTCTAGCCCCATACACACACTGCCCCCACACACACCATACACATTCACACACTGCCCCCACACACACCATACACATTCACACACTGCCACCCCCACACCCACACACTGAACCTTTCACACACATTGCACCCCTCACACATTGCACCACTGCTCCTATACCCTACTACAGCCCCATATCCCAGCAGACTCCGGTAAGTTGTCAAACTGTTCTTAAACGGTTTGACTACTTACTCTGGGAGGGGGTCCCAACAATCCTGGCACCATAACCACTACACAGAGGAGTAGTGGTTATTGTGCATGGAATATTTCTTTAAATAATCTACAAGTGTCCTGCTCAGGCTCTGGATCCGCCACTAGTATATGACATGTATATTAATGTGTGTATTAGTTATATATATATATATATATATACACATATATATATATATATATATATATATATATATATTATATTTACACATATTAATGTACATTTATAAATGCATAATACACAGAGAAATTTCATTAATATGTACCATATGTAATGAGCAGATATTGTCCCAGTCTTGTTGCTAGGTGCATACTCCAGCACAATAACATATTTAAAGTGAAGAGCACACCCACAGGACTTCAAAATAAAATTTTTTTCAGTTGTGCTTTCCTTAATATGTCAAGGTAGTTGGACTGAAACATTGATTACATGCAAAGGCACATCTGCTTAAAATAAATCTGCACTTTTGTTTATTTTGAAGCCTATGAGTGCGCTTTTTACGTTGAAGTACTTTTTAATTTTAAGTTATCTGTTCTAACTCTGTATCTGCACACTATGCTGGCGCGACGCATTATGGGGCTGGTAAATATTTTTTTTCCAGGGCTGCTTTTAATTCCCAGTCCGGCCCTGAGGTGAGGGTGTACCTGCCGAAGGGACCTCAGGCTGCAAATGAGCCGTACGAATTAGTATTGTATTGAAAGCTTGGGCAAATTGATCCATATGGTGATCATTCTCCTCTAGCTTTCTCTCACAAGCTACTATGTGCTGACACATATCTGCAGGATCTATGGCCATTTCGTAATGTCAGGATTATATTAATCCAGCACACAGAATAGTATCACTCTCTAGAACTAAGGGTAACGTCTTACTGGGCCTTAGAATGGCCGGACTTAACATACCTGAGAATAGTCAGAAAACTAGCCGAGGTCAGGGACACAGAACGAGACACAGCGATAAGGAAAAGCCAAAAGTTAAGGGTACCAGAAATCAGGGAAGTCAAAATGAATCCAAAGTCAAAAACCATAAAAACACGATCAGGAACACACTCTCAGATAACCATCTAAGGGAAACCACGACAGGGCAATGAGCTAAGGAATAAGTGAGTTTAAATAACCCTCTTGCAGATCCAATTGGCTGTACCTAGCCCTTGACCCCAAAACGTGCGTGTGCGTCTTTTGCGTGATGTAACCCGCACGTTGACGTTGTCTTTACCGTGGACGGACGTGGGGCTATATAATTGCATGGGTCCGCAGTGGCCTGCGTGCACCTACATGCTGCCATCATAGCAGAAGACCGTCGAGCGTCACTCCCCTCGATCTGTTTCTGTCAGTGAGTGTGTGTCGGTCAGTGTTGCGATGGCCACGGCTGGACAGTGGAGGACCTGAAGGTTCACAGAGGCACGCAGCGCCATGTTACATTCTGACCTGACGCCGATGTGCTCCGCCTTCACAGGAGTAATGGGAGGGCCTGCTTTGGCACAGGGTGCGGATGGTGCCATTTGGGGTATACTAGAGGTCAGTGTAACGGATCACCTGGCACCCCGACTGGGTACCTCCGTTGAAGGATGCCCCTAGCGCTTCCTGAGGACTCCAAGCACTCTGGCAGACACCACAATCACCGAACCGGAGAAACAAATAAATTCTCCCAAGCATATGAATGCTGTAGACAGTTGAATAGGAACCATACGAATAGGTTTACTCTCCTAGCAGT